GACGGGGCCGTTGCCTGTGCCGGGCCCCGGGGAAAAAGGTCGCTGCGGCACGGGCTCCCCCGCGGCTTTCCGGCGGGGCGAGCGCCGTGCTTCCCTGGGGCTTCCAGGCTCCGGTTGAGGAGCGAAAGCCGTGTGGCGTCCAGCCGGCCGCCGGGACCGAGCCGCGTCCCGCAGCGTGGTGGCTGGCGGCGGCGGCGCGCTCCCCCCGTGTCGGTGCCGGCGGCGAGGGCGAGCACCGCTGTGAAATGACCGGGCGTTAGCCGAGGCAAAAGTGCTGCTTCCCAGATCTCAGGCTTTCTTCGGGCAGGGCTGTTTTTCTAATACTGCCGATGCGTTGCTGTTGTTGCTATTAAAACGCTAAATACATCATCAGCCGAGTGAGGTCGCTCTGCGGCCATACAAATGGACTTCGGTTGGGAGTTGTGCATCGTCAGATAGACGATACCTGGCCTGCTCATCCGGAGACATCAGTCATCCTTCCCTTACGTAACCTGCTGCGCTCCTCCCAAAGTGAACCTGGGCTGTTGTCAGATCCTTTCTCTTAATCAAAACGAAATTGACTTATTTCTGGGCTTTCAAGGTCGTCTCGAAAAGGTACATCTCAAACATGCAAGCTATGTTCTTTTAGATTATTTCAGAGATGTAATCTGATATGAGGCCTTTATGCAAGACTTTTTCACTCTGCTTTTGTGAGGAGAGCTTGTGGTCCGAAACGGTGCAGTGTATGACATGATGTTGTAGGAGAATGCATCTCTTTTCTCCTCCCGTTCTTTGTCGTAATGTACAGAGGTAAAATTATTACACAACCCTGTAAATCAGTTCATTCTGTACATGTGTAATCTACGAAGGAAGTGGAACGTTGTGTGCCTTCTGTTTGATAAATTTGGGGTATTCTGAAAAACAGTAAGCTGGACATAGACCTAGATTTGGTCAAATATTATAAAGCATAAAGTTCATGCAGGTTGAAGAATTTTGTGTATAGTGATGCCATCATAGGATTTTTTTTTTTGTGGCTGTATTTATAATTTTGGATGACACTGTGGTATAGCTATTTGGTATCTAAATACAGTTACTTAATGATATCTCAACACTGGATATTCACGATAGGTACTTTTTTTAGAGATGACCGTATTCTCTCAAGAACAGATTGCTAAGCTTCACAGTTGGAACATTTTCATTGAGTCACTGTGTCTACTAGGATGGCTATGGGAGGCTGATGTGCAGTATCTCTGGATAGTAAGAGAGAGCAGCACTAAATTTTAGATGTGAAAAATGCAAAGGAAGAAAACGCATCTGTCTGGGATGATCGTAGTTGCAGCAGCTGTGAATTGCTGCAGAACAGTGAAGTACAGCTGAATCTGAGGTGAAACTTCAGGAGGGTTTTATCATTAACCATATTAAACATGGTGGGTTAGCAGAGCTGATAACCATCCAGTTATGCAGCATACTGAGCATACCAAGAGAATGTAGTACCAAGTCAGGCCAACAGTGCATTATATTATCTCAGTTTAGAAAAGATGTCTTCAGTGGTGTGTTACTAGTAGAATATATTGGGATTTTTAGTTTTATAACCATTGTATAATGCTACTTTCTACAGACCTCTTTTCTTCCCCATTCTTACATGGTCTAAGATGTGAAATGGGCACTGTATGCAAATATTTAAGAGATACAGGCTATATAGGTGTTACAGCAAGATGTGGGGGAGAGACGATGTTTATAGTATGCCAAGGCACACAGAACTTTCCTTTCAAGATGTTCTACTATTTTAACGTTATGAGCACAAGACCCATTACACCCTGTTCTTGCCAAGATTATGTGCTGCTTCTGTTAAGATGTAGCTTCCTGTAATTGTACAAACTACATCTGTTTCCCTGCATGTTCAAGCTTATTGTAGGTTGTGCGCTTTTCTTCCTCCCCCTCTATTTTTGTTAAACTGGTTTAAACTTTTTCTAACAGGATTTCTACAATTGGCCTGATGAATCCTTTGAAGAAATGGATAGTACATTAGCTGTTCAGCAGGTATTCTTACTTATGTGAAATGTTGCTAATAAGTTCAGTTTCCCAAGTTTTGTATTTTGGTAAAAAGAAAAAAACCCAGAGAACAGGGCATGCTATTTAGCTGCTTAGTATGTTGCTGCACAGGAGTGAATTTCATAAGCACCCTACATATATTTAAAAAATTGTAATTATTAATTTTGTATGCAGAAAAAACTAGAATTCCCATGTCTGGTTTAAACAAATCAGATATAAGAAAATAGTGGGGTTTCCTGCGGGGTTCTTTTGTTTTGAGATGGATGTTGTAAAAAAGCTGTAAAATTTACCCATTCTTTTTCTAATTGAGGAGAGGCATTTTTCAGATCTGGCATTTTTTTATAACAATTTTCTTACCCTGCACATCTACTCTTTAACTTTTTAGTCCATCAATCTCTTCTTAAGTAAAAAGTAAGTCCCTCAGAGATGTCATGTCCTAAATATACTGTGTTACTATAATTGCAACAAGATCTAGATTTATTCCCCCCTCTCCCTCTCCTAGTATATTCAGCAAAACATAAGGGCAGACTGTTCCAACATTGATAAGATCCTTGAACCTCCTGAAGGCCAGGATGAAGGTGTATGGAAGTATGAACATTTAAGGTAAGAATCCATCTTTTGTCAACCTAGTGTCCCGATTCTAAGTTTGTTCATTAATAGTGGTAGTGAGTCTTTTTTAATAAGACAGATCAAAGGTAACTTAAATGAAACTTGATATTTCTGCTATTAAATATTTTTATACTTTGGTATTAATTATTATCTGAATTCCTTGTTCTTTCTAAAGATTTATGATTCGCTCTGATCTAGTGAGTTTGATGTTTTTTAAGAAAATGTTTGTACCTCACTTCAAAAGTTGTACTAGCATGTTTTGAATATGAAAATATAGTAATGAATTTCCATAGCACTTTCTCCTAGGATCATCAGTTCTTCATCTGCACTAATTGAGAATGTGATTTCCAGATGCTCCCAGTGCTTTTTCTGAAACTTGCAGCAAAATAGGCTTTAGCTGGGAAAGCAAGAGTACCTATGTCTTGCAGTTCTTTTTCTAGTTGTAAGGAAACTCAAAACTTTTTGTCCTTCTCTCAGTTTGTTTTATGCAGTATAATAAATACGTTCAGCCTACATGGTTTGTACCTGAAAGTATTTTTCAGTTGTAGTGTAGGTTCACACCCTGTTCATACATATGTAGTAATCCTTTTTTCCTGGCATTACTTTAGTATCCTTGTGTCCTGATTTTTTTTTTTTCTTGTAAGTGTGTCTTCTAACTTTATCAAATATGCTTTCAGGAATAAGAACAGTTCTAAGCTACTCCTAGACTTATATATCCTGACTTTTTGCCTCCCGTTTTCTTTTTCTCTCCTCTGGTTGGGAACAGTCCCAATAGACACAGGGAATCCTCAGAAGAGGAAAAAGTACATACAATTGCAAAAGACATTTTAAGAATTTCCCATCCTTTCACAGACACAAAAAATCATTGTAGAGTCATAGAAGTGACTTGTCACTAAATACTTGTCACTTTTGGAAAACTTATTGAAGTTTTTCTTGTAGGATGGAGGGGTGAATTCTCTTAAGTTAAAGAATGCACTTTCAGGTACATTCTAGTGAAAGCAGTATTTCTAGAAGTCCCACTATAATGATCTGTGGTGGGATATTAGCCACTTGATTGATCCGGAGGAAGTACACCTTAGAAGGATGGAATGATCCAAGCTATATGAATTTAAAACTTGCACTCTTAAGACAGTAATTTTCTTGAAGTGTTCTTTAATTTTTTTTACCTGTATTTGTGAAATAGCACTTTCTTCCATAACAGAGTTGATATCTTAAATACTTCCACTAAATTATTTGTTAAGCTCAGCCTCTAATGTCATGTAAGAATTAAAATATAATTGTTTTGCTGAGTAAAAAAAATATGCTGGTGTGAATTCTGTTTCTCTCAACTTGTAGTCCTTCTATAGTGTGTTAATTCCTAGCCTGTTGCCTCTTCAGATGTGACATCAGGTAAAACTATTTGATGGTATTCTTTAACTATGATTTTTTTCATGGTCTGATGTATTTTTTCCACTTTACAAGAATAATTTCCAAAAATGTTGAGAGATCGGTGAAGAAGATCAGAATGTATAACCTTGCTTTTTATTAGATGTTTCCAGTGGGAAAACAAATTGTTGATTTTGATGCTGCTGTGTTCAATTTTTTTTAGACAATTCTGCCTTGAGCTCAATGGACTAGCTGTCAAGCTTCAGGTAATTCTTTTCTTGCTATTTTTATGTTGTATCAGGGAGGAGACTCTTTTTGTATTGTAAGATGCAGAGTTTGCAGAGCTTTCTTCTAAATTGATACACATAGACTTAAGCAGTGGTTTGAGGTAAGAGTATTTTAGGGTTTTAAAGACTTCTAGCAAAAAATGCTTTTTGGTGGGGAACAAGGCAAGGAAGTGATTTGAAAAGATCAGCTCCTTTTTGCTGTTGCATGGTTTTCATAACTGAACAATTGTTTTAACAGAGTGAATGTCACCCAGACACATGTACTCAGATGACAGCAACTGAACAATGGATTTTTCTTTGTGCAGCTCATAAAACTCCCAAAGAGGTATGGATGTATTTTGGAAAAGTGACCCCATTTATGTAGGATTTTCTTTCACATTTCATGTGTTCATGGGGAGGCCATTATAGCTGGCTGCTTAGTCAAACTGAGAGCTTATGTGGGTTAAGAATATCACTTGAGGTGTCCTTCTTTCCCATTCTGTAGAGGTTTACAAAAGAACGGGATGAGGTAGGAACAAACTGCTTTTTACTGCACTATTAGAGACTTTGCACATTCCCCTCTTTTCTCCCTTAATTTGTGTTGAGACAGCCTGAAACTCAATGGAAAAAGGTCTTTGTTTAATTGAAAGAAGAGTGCACGCTGAGAATAGGCTGTCTTCTTCAAACTTTGGCCTCAATTCATAGCACTAGGCATATAAGCCTGACACTCTGAAAGTGATCGCATGTGCACGTTCTTGGGGAAGTTGCTCCTAAAAGGTAGTGGAGTCATAAAAATACTGTATGTTGAGTGGGTTATCAGCATGGCAGTAGCTTGCCTTCCTGAGTGTCCAATTACTTTAAACTTTGTTCAGATCTCCTATTGAACCACTTAATACATCTTTTATTTTTTTTTGCCTTCAGAAGGTTTTTCTCTGTTGCACTATTATGGTGATAGTGCAGTCTGTCGTATTTATCTTTGTATTTCACCTTCCAGAATAAGGTATTGTTTCTTCTTAACCTTACCCTTTTTGTCCTGTAATCTTTTTTTTGTTTTGTTTTTTTCATTTCCTGAGATGCCTTGATTTAGCTCTGAAGGCCAGCTTCTTTCCCACTCCCTCCTTTTCACCCTCATCCTCACTCAGTATATTGGCATGCAGCAAGTCTGTTTTACTCAGCTAAACTGGAGAATTTCAGGCTGCTTTTTATCTCTGATCATGCATCACTCATCTACTGTTTTCCATGTCAATAATAGCTATCAACTAATGGTCAGATAGTGGGTGATGCAACCTTGAACTGCTGACAAAAATGTACAACTGAGAAGTCTTCTTCCTGAAACTGGGGAATCGCAAAATGGACAGACATTCCTGCTCTCAGTCTGTCTCAGTTCATCTTTACTTTTTTTCCTTCTCCTCTACGTGTTACTTGATTGCAGAGCCAGGGCTTGGCTTGTTATATACTTAGCTACACTAATGATTTTGGTTTTCTTTGCCAAGATAAAAAGCATTGATATACTTAGGTGCAGGTTTGGGGTTTTTTGTTTTGGTTGATTTTTTTTGATAAGGTGTTAATTTAGGCTGTAAAAGAAAGCATCTGGCAACTTAACTCTGTGGGAAACAAATAAGCTGTGAGGGAATGATCGACTTTCCTTTCAGTGTACTTCCAGTATGTGTTCTTACTATACAGCTTTACTTAAGGAAATGCATAAAATTCATTACTCATGCATAATCATATTTCCATAGTAACTTTTTTCTTGAAATAATTTACATGGGTTGTGAAACAGAAGAAAGAAATAGCTCACTTAAGGAGGAAACGTACTTAGACCTTCAGAGAAGCTATGTGAAACTTCTGGGAGTAAAAATGACCAGTGAAGTTAAAAGCATCAGGAAACATAATTAAAATGTTTCTCTTCAAACAAGTTATATGACAGTGTCATGCATGCAGTCATACATGTGCTCACTCACTGTCTATTTTTGTAGTGTCCTGCTATAGACTACACCAGACACACACTTGATGGAGCTGCATGTCTTCTGAATAGCAATAAATATTTCCCCAGCAGGTAAAAATGCTTTCTCGTGGGAGGAGGGAAGGGAGTAGGTGGCACCTAAACACTTACAAAGCACACTGAAAGGCGTAATGCATTTTTCATGGACTACCACGGAAAATACCAGAAGTCCTGCAGCACGTGTCACTTGATGGTAGGCCTGTTGGCACTTTTAAGCCAAGGAAGAATTCCTACCCATTCAAATAGTTTGCCATTTACTGGAGCTGGCGGGTGCTTTTTAGGTGGAAACTGTTTTACTAGTATCTGTTGGTGTTACGGGGCTTCCATTGGAGTAGTGCCAACCTAAATAACAGGATGGCCTTTAGAGAGATGCAGGGACTTGAACAACTTGAACACTACAGCACTGAAAGCCTCCAGAAGCCAACACCAATCCACTGTGGGACATCAGTGACCAAGACTGAGACAAGAGACTGAGCGTACTGAATGAGCAGCCCACATGTTGGATCATGGAAACCTTAAACTGGAGAAGTCAAAACTGTGCTTCTCTAGGAACCCAGTATTGGCAAGGAGGTACAATGGGAAGTCTTTTTCCCTTTGCCCATCAATGCTAGAAACCAGAAATCCAGCCCTTACCAGAATAACTGATGATGTTTAACTACAGGCAAAACTTTTTTGGTAGTTGGAATACAATTTTTAAATTTGGAGTATGCATCAGTGTTTTTATTTTCCTTCCAAAAATAAGCAATTGCAGACACAGATATCTGCAACACTTAAGTCTAAATTTCACGTGCAATTATATAGTATAGTTTAACAATCAGAATTCATGTCAACATATATCTTGGTAGTTGTTTCAGTAGACCTGTTTTGTAACCTTTCTCCTGGTGCTTACAGGGTTAGCATAAAGGAATCCTCTGTAGCCAAATTAGGATCAGTGTGCCGAAGGATTTACAGAATATTTTCACATGCTTATTTTCATCACCGGCAGATATTTGATGAATATGAAGTAAGTAGTTTCAAATTACATCTTGAAAGAAGGGCATTTACTGAAGTTACAGTTGTGATGTAATTGTGTTACATGTTTTCTTTTAATCCTGCCAGAAGATCTGCATTCAAGTGAAGTATTGATTGTAGTAGATTACAGTTTTGCAAGAACTGAAATGCTGTTATATGTGCATATATATAAATGAAAATTAATTTATGTAATTAGTTTACCCAGTTATGGTGTCCCTCATTTGGATGAAAGGTCAGAATTTGAGGTTTTGTACAAACAACTCAAATTCATCTTGTTTTAAAGATTCCTGAATGTATTCAAGCACTTGGTATAGTTAGTACTGCTTATGTATATGTTTCCTATATGTTACACAACAGTTAAGGAATTAAATTGTAAAACTGCAAAGACACTTGAGTAACTGGTGGCAGCTTGGGCACCTCCAGTAGATTCCAACTTTTTTTTTTTTTTTAAATGGAAAAGTAGAAATTAATAAATAGAAAGGAGGTAAGCAGTATAAGTATATGTATAAGGAAACCTTTGCCAAATCCCAGTTAAGGTTGCTGAAACAGCTATGGAATGGTTGTGCCCTGTTCTGCTGGGGATGGTGTATGTGGGAGGACTTTCACAATGCCTTAAAACTTTCTTTTGGAGAGTGGATCAGGACTACATTGATATTTGAATATATTCTTGTCTAAGTGCTGTTAAATTCAGCTGTCACTTAAGCCTGAACTTCATTGGGTTTTTTTGTTAATGGCAGTAACTATAAGCAAGCAGTATAGGGAAGATTTAAAAGAAGTAATATAAATTTACCATTTAAGCATTACTACTTCTTTCTAAGGCTTGTAAATCTAATGAGGCAATTACATATATGCAGGGCTTTTTTCAGTATGTTCTCCTTGATTGTTTAAAATATTCCTCTGTGTATATTGTTTTTTTCCCCTTTTTTCATCTCCAGAATGAAACTTTCTTGTGTCACCGGTTCACTAAGTTTGTGATGAAGTATAATCTGATGTCCAAGGATAACCTGATTGTACCAATTTTGGAGGAAGAAGTGCAAAATTCAGTGTCAGGGGAGAGTGAGGCATGATGGGAATGGCAGTACAGAAGCCTGTACTGAATATAAACAAAACATTAATTATGCACTGTATATATCATTTTAGACACTTCAATCACGTATCGTCATAGCTTTGTTTAGTATACTTTTTGTATGCTGTGTGCATTGCCTTTTAATATGGGAAATACTTTAAGTTATTCATGAGCTGTATATTCATCAATGTGGCACTCATGGTTTTTAAATAAAAGTAGTAGTGTCTGTTTATAATGCCTGTTAATAAAAGAATTTACAGTTCTCTAAAATTGCTGCTAAACAATCATTGAATCACAATCCTGAAGATGTGTCTGATTGGGTGGGAAAAAAGTGAGATTAAGATTTTCACAGCAAGCCATTTTTAATGCAGTAGCTATAGTAAGTCTTAGTTCAAAGATTATCACCTTAAATATATAATTCTGCAGGAAGCTTCTTGCAATGTAGCTTATTCCTAATTTAGCTTTTATTTTTTTTAAATGGCTTTGAAGATATACTTTTGGATGTGCATGTTCCTGTATGCCTATATCCAAATACTAATAGGATCTATAGTATTAGTAATACCAAAAGGACAATTCCACTATGCTATTGAACATATATATTCTTGATATACATCTAACTTTCTGGACTTGTTTTTTTGTTAACAGTGGAGGTTTGTGTACAACAGGGGACAGGTTCTGTCCTGTTAAGGCAGACGTCTGCTGTTCTCCAGTCCACAACTTCTCTAAAGAATAACTGTGGCAGAAAAGTCAATGGCTTATACCTGCGCATATTCATGGCAACCGCTTACAGACTGTATCTCGTAAATACTCATGTTACACTACATAACACACTACCAGAGTCTTTGCTTGTATTCCTAGTAAAAACATTCTTAAGTACCTGAGATACTGAACCTGATTCTTTGCAAGAGTTAATCATGTTTTCAATATACATTGCTTTGTTTTTCTTCATTCACCTGAATTATATTATTTGACAGAAAGATTTGGATTCATGCTTCTGTTCCCTATCAGATGTTTATTTCAAGTTGTGTTTGCAGATTTGCAATAACTGACAATTTCCATGAGTGCTGCTTAATTGTGTTATGTCTAGAATGATAGAATTAAATAATTTAGAGATGAATATAGCAGACATACTGCTAAGGGTACATGAATTCAGGGTCTAAAAGCACTAGCAGTGTTCTTCTGTTAAATGAATTTTGCTTAGCTAAGAAGTTAGCTGGTTTTTTCTCTCTGAGGTTGCCAGGAGCCCTCTTTTTATTTCTTTAAGCAGGTCAGAATGGGCTAACTCCACTAGTTTCTATAATCTATGCTTTGTTTTCTATGTTATATTTACCTGGAAAGAAGGGAGTCCACCTATTTTTAATAAGTCTTTTTTCATAATATACTAAACATGCCTTAAATTCTATTTTTCTTTATATGAATCAAGCACACCTCAAGCAACTGTACCACCTGGATGTAAAGGGGATTTAAACAATGAGAAAATAGACTAAGCTTATGTACTTCAACAGCTGTATTCTTCAGCAGCTCCTTTTGTCTTATGTTTATCATTGTATGTAGTTGTCAGCAGGGTAATTGCATGAGATGTTGTCCGAGTAAAAGTAGCTTTAGTTACTGTCTATACATGTAGCTATAACTTGCCTTGTATAGACTAGGTTACTTGATTTTGGTAAGTTTGTACTGCAGGTAGGAGGGCTGTATTCTGGAGGTAGTAAAATTTAATTAATTTTGTTAGAGTCTGCTCTAGGACCATCCACGGTGTGGTTCTCTTGTACAGTCACTCTGCATGCTTGTATTGGCCGTGGTGACTGAGACAGGCAAAACATGTAACTGGTGTTGCTAATTAAATTTCCTCTACCAAACTGAAGAAAAATGATGTGGTGGTCAGGACTGCATTAAAATTTCAAACCTCTTTTTTCTTCTTCTTATGCTTTAAGAGTTTCACTTCAAAATAAAACTTGGGAAGTTTTAATCCTGTTATTCTCATTCAGATTTGCACTGTAAAGTTGACTTGCTATACTAAGCTGATTTCATATAAGGCCTAAGTGAAACACTGCTTGTATTTTCCCTTGCTATTGTTTACATGAGTACTACTATGTACACACATGTGCCTGAATGGTACCATAAAACTTCAGTTAGCCTAAGCAAACCATTGATTTGTCTAATAAATATTGTCAGGTTTAATTTAGACTCTACATAATAGGGAAACAGAGACTGTCTTTGAATTATATTGTAACAAAACAACAAAAAAAGATAAAATTAAACTGTTTCTTTATCCATACTGCTATATTTTGGCAAGTTATTCTCATTTTTTGTGTCATCCAAGAACGCAGGCAACTGAGTGCTTCCAAGAGAAAGTTCAGTGCTCTCTCATCTCTGCTACAAGGTGTGCTGAAATGAAGTTGTATTTTTTCTTTCAAAAATAGAGAAATACAATAGTTATTAGCATCTTGAAGTCAGACCTCAAATTTATACATCTCTCAAATTGGAAAATGCTGGTTCTACAATTAAAAAGTAAGGGAGATCTAGAAGAGGACCTTCCAGATACCAAAAGAAGCACATTATGACAGCATGCCACAGATGCAAGGGTGTATTGTAAGCAAAGGATAACTTTCAAATGACTTTTTCCTTAGGCACTGAGGTTTTTCCTGATGTTTGGCTTAGCATATCTTGCAACAAGATCAGCCACAATGTTTTTGCTACTTTCAAGATTCTAATTCTCTCAGATGTTGTCAAGGTTTTTCTGCTTGAACAGATCAGAGCATGTCACCAGACCAGTTCCTCTAAACCACTTTGTCTCTTTCAAGTTATGCCTACCTGAAGTCAGGAATGTTCACTTCTTTAATTCATACCAGTTGTCTAAATTCTGATGCAGGAATTTGGCTTAGAAAAATCTAAATCCTAACTAACACTGTTCTCTGAATTAAGCCACAGGGAATTGACAAGACAACAACCTAACACTTTTTACCTTCAAAAGGTTAATATACTAAGAACAAGGAAAACCGGATCAGCTTTTAATAGATGCCAGTAAGTCTAACAAGCTTTGCCTTGTGAGCTGTACAGATGTACAGACAAGACTGCAAAAAAGTAATTCTAGCTTGAGGAAAGGTAACATTGATCTAACCCACGTAAAGTCAAGGTGCGACAAATGTAATAAAGAAACTGGTAGCTGATTTGATAAGTGCTTTTAATGGTGAAAAGCTTCCTATCAGAACTATAGAAAAGATCTTAGCTTTACAAAAAAAAAAAAATTTTACAGACCAGAAACAGAGAAGTTAAGCAGCAGTTTATTGCAGTTGACCAGGTATGTAAATAAATTTTTCTGACAATTATGAGCTGGGCACAACATTTTTTTTTTTTTTTTTTTTTTACAGTGGATAGTGTCTTCCTGCTTGTAAACTCTAGAAAAGTATTTCCTCTCCAAACAAAAGTATAAACAGTCTTTTGCAGAGGTTCATGAACAGCATCGGTTGCCTTCTATCTCTTCTTTCTAATAGTTGCAGGGCATTTCTGCTGTCACATACAGGTAAGGGACTTTTCTATTACATTTCAGACACACAGGCTCCTAACTGAAGCCCTGTTATTGAATAAATAAGTGTACTTACTTTTTTTGCCAGAAAATGCATTCATGCTTTTAAGTTTGATTTGCAATTCTTCCAATAAAAAGATGAGTATGTAAAATACATTCTGGTAAAATGAAAACTGAACAGAGTTTGTGTGTGTGTGTATATAGATATAATAGGAGCATATAAAAAAAAAATCTTGCCAGAGTTACTCTTTCTGACAGCTCTTCTGATTTACAAACTTAGTTTAATTAACAGACAGTGCTCATCACAACCCTAATAAAGGCATACCTTAATGCTTTGGTTTGTGTAAGCCCAGGTGATAAAACAAGTAGCCTAAATTGGAATCCCCTACACCCAAAACACACCCTCCCCTTCTCACTTTTCCAAATAAGATATAGTTGGCTTTCAGAATTTTTAACTACAAAGAACAGAATAGAAGATTTTCTGTAGTTTGTTTTAGAAGCATTTTCAATTACTTGTTTCAGCATCCATGCCCTAGGAAGACAGGTGGTTTATTCTGTGTTCTTCAATTAGTGTGTGAAGTCAGATGATTCTTGCACAGTCCTCACACAGGGTGAGCAAGCAAGTTACTCTTCCCTGATTTCTGAAAGAAAGCCTTGCAGCACGAGAACACTCTCACAGCTACATGCCCACCAGGGCTGAAGCACTGGTGCTTACAATGACCTAAAGAACAGGATAAGCATGCAGTCAGTCAGACCAGCTTTCAGAATCTCCCAACAGTTTCTGGTTCAGTGACTCTCAGAGAGAATAGGGTGATGTTTTTCCTTTCAGGAATTTTTCAGTCACTTTTTAAATCCATCTAGTTTTATACACAGCATGCTGCAGCAAGGAGTTCTCCAGTTAGCTGGGTAGATACCATGATTTGTTTCAAAGCTGCTACTTACCACTTCCATGATTCCCTTGAATTCTTGTATCAAAAAAAAGAATGCTGAGGAATACCCTCTCCATGGCACTCACTTTACAGATCCCTATCTTGGCTCCTGTCAGGTTGACTTTTTTTTCCAGGTGAAGAACTGTATTTTGTTTATTTTTTTCTAGTACAGAGCCTACATGTAGCCCTGTGAGGTGAAAGACAATAGAGACCTAGGGAAACAATCTAGTTTAATGTTCCTACAGCAGGGACAACTTCACATACTGTGAGGCAAATGGCATTAAAAAAACCCAGCTGTCCTTAACTATATAGGAATTGCTGAGTGGCTTCAGAGGAAACAATTTAGCATATTTACACAGAATTAAAAAGACTAGAAAGAAATTCAGAGGTTTGCAGCACAGTCAACACCTGTGAGATTCAAGAGCAAGGACCAAAGCGCAGTTAAAACTGGGCTACTTAAAAGCAATATAGCTTTATTTCATTTTAAGAAGAAAAACCTTTCTTGCTAAAAGTGGGGATATTCTAAAGTGTACCTGTGGACATCCAGAGCATACTCTATTTCTACCCTTGTTCCAAAACAGAATCTCCCTTGTGTACATCCCATTAATTGTAAGGGGAAAAGTTCTTTTAAAAAGACACTAATTTATTTGAATTTTCTGCATTCTCAACAGCTGATATCACAAGATCTCAGTTAAAGGTTAAACAATTCTCTTTATCCAATTAATGTATTCTAGAAACATTAACTGCGTGCAATTTATTACTTTATATATTGTAACTTAAGTAGTTGTAGTTCAGTTTTGCTTTAGGGTTCACTACTATTAACCATCTTAAGCAGGGCTACTACTTTATAAAAGGTAATTTCTTTGATATACTTTAAATACTTTAACTTGGAATATTCAGAATTGCTAGGTTTTTTTACCAATTTTTGCTGGTTTTACAGATTTGACTTGTATGGAGAACCACCAGTAGTTAAAAAATTAAGCACACACATGAGAGTTTTAGATAACTCATGAAAAATACTTTTAAAAGTAGAGCAGCATATTCCAAGTTGCACAAGACCAGCTGTTACCCCATTTTTAATATGCTAGAGTTACTTGGCTTTCTGCCAGAGACAGATGTAACATGTATTTTCATAATTTTTTCACATCTGTGTACTATGGAGGAGATCCCTGCTAACTGCGTGACGATGACTGCTGCTCACAGAGTAGTGGGCTGCATGAGAAAGCAGCGGTTGGGTCAGGCTCTGTGGGGAACACCACCCCAGCCCAGCCCTCTCCCTATTAGTGGGGTGATCCTCCTCCACGTGGTGCCCCCAGACAGAGAATGAACACGAGGTTTGTGCCCCACATCTGTGACCTTGAGGTGCTGGTGGGAAAGCAGGGAGAGAAGCCTTGGCAAGAATGGATTTCTTACCGTGCCTACTATCACAGGTACTCCTGCGCTCCCATCGCTCCCCGTGGTGCGTGCAGTCCTCCTCCTGCCCTACTGGCACGTATTTGGCTCTTAAAACAGTCACCATTCAAACTATTTTGCCAGGCTGCCAGCATTTTTCCTAAGAAATTAAAGTGAGAAAATAGAAGCTGCCTTTTTCAACAATGTGCAACAGGAAAAAAGAAGTTGAAGGAATGTCTCTGGCTCCAGGACTGTGGAATTTTTTTTCAAAAAAGCCACAAACCTGCTACAAACAGTTGTTAGAGCTGCTCTTCCAGAGTGAAAAATAAAAAACAAGCCTGCCTACAACAATTTCATAATGAAATTGGGAAGCAGCTCCCACTGTGACAATCATGCAAGTAGAAAGGGTTTCCCTTGCCCCCCACCTTGTAAAAATAAATTGAAACAGCACTAAGGCTTTGTACTACTTTTGCTTATCATAGCAGGTGTAACCTTTTTTCTTTCAGGAGTTACTTTTTGCTTATTGAAATAAGCAGCTTCTGCCAATGTTCTTTCTGCACAGCTCCCTGCCACCCAGATCGCATTCTGACTTGCACCATCTTGGTCATCTCCTGGAGTGTTCGTTTGGAGTCAATTATTGGTGTTCCTGTCACTGCATTAATTTGCCCACTGAGTTTAGCGCCAGCATCTACCACTGTGGACAGGGAGACTCCCATGGCAGCTGGTGGGATACCACCCCGGGGGAGTGGGGTGGTGTAGTTAAATGTATTCACAACATTTCTCTCAGTGTTTGCAGTACAACACGCACAGACACGTATCAAAATCCCTGGGTGATGTGCGTGCTGTACTGTAAACATTAAGTGTTGTGAATACATTTGCTCAGTTCTGTTCCGATTTCTCATTTTGACCATATTATTTTCCATTAGCTTAAGTATGACAAATATTTATAGTTTTTGCTTCTAAAACTAACTGAAAAACGCAATTTTTAGTTACAGTCGCATTTACCTTCTGGAGATGGATTTGTATTCAGCTTCTCCTCTGTAAAATGTAATTTCAAGACAGCAGCATAAAAATAATTCCTGTTGATGCCTCTCCCCACAGAACCCTGCCAGTGTTAACCTCCCTTAATGCAAGCAGCATCTCCCCACAGTGAGGATGGAAGCACAGCAACTTCATCCTGTACTCTGAACATCCTTTCTGGTATTTGACGCAGTTGAATACTTTTTACCCAGTGTGAGATACATTTAGCTGAGAAATTTTTTATATATACATCAGCATATTTGTATAGTCTATGATCTAATATTGCCTATTAAGTTTAGCCTACTTCTTCCTCCTATGTATTATCACCATCATTGTGCACCTTGCTGTCAATGCTTCTTAGTGAGTTTCTCAAACTACTTTTTCGTAGACTGCAAGTTATCTTTCAGGGGGGTGAGTGGTTCTTCATTTCCACTCATGAGTAAATTATGAATACATCATTATACAAGCTATATGCTCAGATAGCTTTTGGCTTAGATGTACAAGGAACCCTGGTAAAAAACCTGCATAGGTGAAATTATATTACAGGAACAAGTGTCTGCCTACAGCCTCCAGAGGTTTTCTGCACATACCAAGTCTGAACGTAGCTTACATTATTAACACTCTAGTGTAAGACTTAACATTTCTCTAGGCTTTTGAATTTATGCAAGGCAATTAAAGTGAAAATTACATTAAAACTTAACAACAGCCAGCCAGTTTGTTTTCCCCACCAATATTTACAATGCCCTTTAAAGACAAAACACACTCCTCCAGCTTGTGGAAAATACTAAACATCCTCATTCCTTTCTCTCTTACACAATTCAAACTGTCACTGTTCTGCAGCATTTGCTTCCTTGCTTGTCAAAAGCATTAACAAGTTAGCAGAGTCATGTAGTTGCTCTATTAGAGACAGAAAACCAAATTATTGTGCAGTGTATTATTACTACAGTAGGATTAACACAACAAAGAAACAGCCAAAAATATAAAATGAGTCTGGGAAAAGTCATAGGATTATACCAATGCATTTAAAGTAGTATGTTTGTTTGTTTGTTTGTTTTAACATTTGTGTGAATTATGTACATGTCCATCTGATGCAGTTACTTACTTTATCACATACATGTGACCTGAGTGACTCCATCTTCCTGGTCAAATTGTCCATCATCCAGTTCCCTTAATACTCCATCACTGCTACTGAATCCCGGAAAGCCTCCATACTGGGAAGATCCCTCCTTGATCCAACATTGTTTAGATGGAGATAGGTGAAACTCATCAGGTGGTTGTCCAATTTCTACAGGGCGAGAAGTAGCTGTGTCTAATCCAACACTTCTGCTAGAGACTTTGCCTTTTTCCTCCCCAATAACTTGTCTTAAGGATTTCCTCTGAAATACAAGAGGATGTTTAAATGTTAGCTTATTTAGGGGGGGGGGAAGAAAAAAAAAGTCAAACACTTTGCAATAAGTCATACATGACTTTAATGCTGGCTGCATTTTAACCTAAGGCAGCATTTCACACTCTGGTTTAAACTGTGAACTCCCCTGGAAAAAAAAACTTCTGACAGATACAGTTTTGTTCTCTATAAATAAATTTTAAGACAGACAAAGAAGATTCAGGACATACTCGAGATTCAAGAAAGCACAAATGAATGCTAAGAAAAGGTACTCCAACAATGCTTGATTCTTATGTAGTACTTGGCAGATCCGGAATGATTTACAGATCTTAACCCATGCTAAAAATCAGCTGTTTGAAGGAAGCACATTCTGTGCCTAACGTACATGTCTAACGTACCCTGACTCTGATGCTTTCTGCCATATGGCACATGTGTGTGCTGCCTTTTCTTGTGCTCTGCAGGGATGAATGCTCGAGGGTGGCACAGCTCCTGCCATCGGCTTCCTCTCAGGTGCAGAGGTCCCTCCTGCCCAGAGGGGTGGCAGGGCCAGGCAGTGGTGGGCATGCAGCTGACAGCTCCACCATCTCCAGCTACTCCTGCAGCCAGACATTCATTCTCCTTTGTTCACATATCTCCATGCCACCACGTACAATGTCTGGCTAGTGCCCTCATCTGCAAGCTGTTCTGAAAGTCAGTAGATGTTGATAATTTCCCCAAACACAGTTCTGTCTAGAAGCTTCAACAAGAGTGCAACATTTGATAAAGATGTGAATTAAACCGCATCAACATTGAGCTCTTTAAGAGTGTGATCAGACCACTTCATAGGACTGAAGGTTTCCCACTGATCCATCTCATGGCAAAACTGCTATGCTTTCCCGTCTTTCCAGTTCTGCCATTAAAGACCTTCAGAGGCCTCCTCAGATAATGGCAAGTTTCTTGAGAATTGCATTCAATCCACATGGTGCATCTACACAGATAGAAGTCAGTGGCTGTCCTGTACAGCAATTTGTGAGGGGGTCTAAAGAGACCTTGCACATGAAGAACTCGGTATAAATACAGTCTGACATTAGTACTGGGATCTCCTGACATGCTTCTTGTCAGAAGTGATGGCTGCCAATATCAAAAAGAAAAATCAGCAGATTGTGATTTATGCAAACAATAGACCTATCAGACTATGCTAAGGGTCCTCTGAGGCATTACAAATAAATAGAAGCTTTATTTCATTTTGCCATCAGGAGCTACCCAAGGTACTCAAGATCTGTGATGATGCAGCACCTCCAGAGGCAATGTCAGGGCCTTGAGTCACAGCAGAGGAGCATAGTTGGGAAGGCAGAAGTGCCCTGGCTGTCTGCCTGGAGTCTTGCTGTCAGCAGAAGCACTGCTAAACCGGGAGATGCTTTGCCAGGGGACACAGCCCTGTCCACAGAAGGAGGACAACTAGCTAAGAAGGAATCCAGCCTCAGCACAGAGCTGTGTTTCGGTGGGTAAAAGATGCAAGCACTCTTGCAGGGGGATTTGCACAAACGCAAACACTTTAAAAACAAAAAACACCCCACAACTGTTTTTGCCATGCTCTCACAAGTTCTGTGCCCCCCTTCTATACATTGCTAAGTTTTTTCTCAAACCCTTCTGAAACAGTAAAAACAATGGCCCTTGTGGCTAAAGGAAATGTATTTAGGGAAGCTGTTACAGAAGACATTGGGAAATTAGACTAAGGGGAAATAGTGTTGCCTCAGGAGAAACAGAAGGAAATAAGCTTTGCCTGGATGCCATGGTAAGAGGATGGAGAAGTCTGCTTAAGGGAAATAAAGGAAAAAAAGAGAAAAGAAAAAACCAGAAAACCTTCAAGCAGTGTGTGGTTCAATCTTGGATCTCCTCCTCTGTACTATTTTCTCAGAAGAGCAAATGGTATGTGATAAACAAAGAGCCCACTGAAACAGTATAGCCCTTCTAATCCAACAGGCCTTTGAACCATTACATAAATCACAAGCCAGGTCATAAAGCGCTATCCCACGAATATACAAGAAGGCAGAGAGATGAGCTGTGAGGACATAAAATATACCCTCCTCAGAAAAGAGATCCTGTGGGAATAAAAGACCAGGTAAAAGGGGTTTTCCTGTCAATTCTTACTGAAGCAAAACTTCCTGTAGAAATGGCAATGCTAACTTTGACCCAACAATTTAAAAAAAAAAAAAAATCCTGAGTACACAAAGCAACCTGTACCCATGTTGCCATTCTCCAGAATGCAAGTCACAGAGGTCCAGCAGCTGGACCTGCCTGTGGGGCAAAGCTCCTGCCATGGCCAGACCCTGCTGCACTGTGGAGAGCTGGAAAGTGATGTGATCAGGGCTTGGGGGGCTTGACAGTGAACTGTTTGAGAAGGCCTGCATGAGACTGCTTTCTTATTTCAGTAATGAAAGAGCCTTGCGGCTTTTGTATTTTGACTCTCTCATAGGTAGCATTCTTATTGAGGTATCTGAATTGCAAACATGCTAAGGATATGCTTAAATAAACATAAATGGTGATGCAATTTTTTTTCTTCTTGAACTTAAAACATTTTAGCTATCTTAAGTACTTCTGTGTTTGAAAAACATCTTAAGTTGTGGACGTGAAAATTTTTTTAACAACTTTCATGTAATTCGAATATCAAGGAAAAAATACACAGTACAAATGAAAATGGAAATGTCATGCCCAACAATATAGAATCACAGGAATGAAATGTTTTTACTAAAATGTTTGCAAGGGTTTGCTGAAGTTGTACAGCCGTGTCATCAATGTCCAGGGCACATTTTAAATAAACATATTTAAGTTTCTAGAGCAAAAGTTAATGCTTTCAAATTTCAGTAGCTTGTTTTGCACCTGAAATCTAGCTACTCAATGCAAAGCTAGCATGACATTCTATACCAGTTAGGAATTACTAACAAATCTATGAGTTTAAATTGTAATGAAGGTAGCATATTGTTTGCCAATTCATTTTGGTAAAAAAGCAATGAAATAAAAAGATTAAAATTTAGGGGAAAAACAACCTAATTGGAAAAACAGAAGGAAAATGTTACACTGCTAAATGTTTCAGCTTCAGCCTGAACTATTTATCCCATGCTAAAATGACCTCAGCATACTGAAATTTCCTGGTGAAGAAGTAAAACATTCACTGCTACTTAAAGAGCACATTTAGATATTAAGTTTGCTCAGATTTTAAACACAGTAATCCTGATGTAAATGGCTACAAATCAGCTATTTCTTGTTTACTTCCAGTATGTTAATGCTTAAGTCAAAAGGTTTCCCACTACAACAAAGTGAAACACTAACTACAAAACACACCATGTTATTTGTATAAACAAAAGCTGCTGATCACCTCACAACTGGGTGAAAGAATTTAAACTGTGAGCATAATGCTTCCTATTTTTAATTTAAACCACGTCTCAAAGATTCATCAGTTCCTCAGACTGAATGTTTTTACAGAACTGGTTTGTATTACATCTCTTGGTAGAATCCAGTCTTAACCATTCTAACTTGTCCCATGTAGTTATGCTGCCTTTTAAGAGACGCTTATAGTTAGAAATAACGTGCCTTACCAAGGAAAGAGTATTCGTATCAGGAGTCCATGCCCTTATTATACAGAGTATAGGTAGGGAAGCATCAGGAAAAGTATGACTTTCTTTGATAATGACTGACATAATGAGGTTTTATATATTTACGATACTGATACCAAAATTAAGTTCCAAAACATACTTTCAGAAATGTATTAGGAAAGAATGTAAAGACTACGAAGTCAGGCAGGAGAGCAGGGGTCAGAAGCTCTGAAAGCTAAAAGCTGAAGATGCTTGGTACACAGGGGGAAATTAAAGGAAAAAATTGTATGAGGAACTGGCAGAATTTAGAAGAGGGTATGAATGGAAGAGGAGGTTAAGACACTGGCAAGGGAGACTACACAGAACACTGAAGAGAAAAAAGTGGAAGCTCAAATTTTGTAAACTAGGAAATAAATTATAGATAGTGTACAAGAACTAGCTGGGAATTGAGATGGCAGTAGAGACAAAAAATAAAACAGGACTTTCATTGTGCATGTTGAATGCAGTTCTTCCAGGCATGGAAGTAGTAATTATCAGGGGACACAGTGAGAAGGAAGTTAGGGTGGAGATAAGCAAAAGCCTGGAGAAGAACAAAAAAAAGGGAGAGTGTATTTTAGAAACACTAAACAGAGGAAAATACAGGTGATGGTAACAGACTGGATAGAAGGTAAAAAGGATGGAGAAAGATCAAACATGAATGCAAGAAATTTAGAGACTCATGGAACCATTTATACAGATGGAGAAAGAAGTAGTATTATTGCCTTATAATAGTATATAATACCATGAATGACAAAGTTTGTAAAGTTACTACTCTGGTGTTGGACATGAGTGAGAACATCCATAGTTTTCACAGCTGCTTAAGACTATCACAGGAAAGCCATGTTGATTAGAGAAAGGTTGCATGGCCATTAAAAAACAGAAACAACAAAAATTAAAATCTACCACAGGATGTTGACAGACTTGGCAAAGAAGAGCCTACCAGTAGTTCATCCTTCTCTGGCCACAGCAGGATTTACTATAGAGCTATACAGGTGCAATAACTGTTGTGACCTTGACTCCAAGAAGAATGCGGTAACAACTGCCAGTTACTTAATCCTCAAAGCACTTGTATACAACCACTATTATGGGAGCCTCACTGAAAAGGGACAAGGAGTTGTTGAGGTCCAGCTACAAGAATTTTAAACCCTCTGTTTCTGTCACACATATTCACGCAGCAACAGCTAACACCCCTTCACCCTCTTAACCTCCAGATTACAGTATCCCTTGCACAGCTTGACACTTGCATTCTTCTACAATTGTCAAAGTAGACGTTTTGGAGGTAAAAAGAAAATGTTTTCTTTTTCATGTGCAACACATCTAGGATTTGAATCGGAACATTTAAGACTTCCTGAAGACTTCTAAAGAAATACTTGTAACGTAGCCAACCTGATCCACCTGAGACACAGTAATTTCTCAGCACGAAACAGGTTTTTAGCATGCTTATGCTTTTCTCTATGGCTTAAGAGGTGTACAGCTAAGAAAAAAAAATGAGTTCAGCTGCAAAAGCCCTCCACAAACTTGAACCTGTTTCAAGTGACACCCTCTGCCACTTTTTTCCCCTTAATTTTGAAGTCTAGTTTGTTTCTGCACCTAACCATTATGTGAAGTACTAATTTGTTTATATTAATACCATAAACATGTTACTCACCTCTGGTGTCTGGACAGCAGAATTCCACATAACAGGTCTCTGAAGAAAAATGACTTGCTTTGTGGCCAGATTTCCTTCACTAAAAGTTAAAGAAAATTGTTTCAATATTTTAAAGGCAATAAGTTACTGTAAGACGTTCATACCTTTCAGAGTCCACTGTAAGTTGTGTGTACGTAAGTCCATGAGTGAGAAGATGACAGACTACCAAGCATTAACTGGTTTATCAATTCCTGAACAGTTCTGTAATCACATTTAAAAAAAACCCAAAACATAGAAGCATTGAGCTGGGTTAAGGTGTTGTACACGAAAATTTGTATAGAAAAAAAAATTTGTATTACTATGATTAGAGTTATTTAACATGTCGGCTCTTGAAAGTTTAAGTACCAGAGCTTGTACTTTTAATCAAAGTCTGCACCTTTATGACTGAAGTAAACCTCAAAGAGTCTTTCTTTCACCTAATCTTCACTCTCCAACATACAGCAACATACTACTACCTATTAATGGCACAACAAGTAGGCCCAATCTCAATAGATCCACAGCTTCAACAAACATCTCGTTAATTTGTGGTAAAAAACTTGGGAAGTAACATTCTTTACTGCTAACTAAAAGGCGTTCTCCGGTTGTAACATGACATCTAACTGACACAGTGGGATAAGCTTGCTGTCTCACCACCCATGGATAAAAGGACTCAGCTCAGTTTTTATAAGCTCTGCATCCATAATAAGATAAATGACACTGGCCATTTTGTACATGGGAGGCACACACACAGGAAGGACAAGAGAATATAGTAGTAAGAGAAATAAAAGAGAAAAAAAATTGAAGGAGGAACTTCAGTTTTTAGTCCTGGAACTTTTAGAAATGTTGATACTGTTGTGGTAGATATAATTTAAAGAAGCACTGTGAACTATTTTTTAAAAGGAAATACTTTTAGAAAAATAAATGTGAAAAGGCGAAGTTGTTCCTCAAGACCAAGTCAGGTGTTACTGATACGATGTTTCAGAAGTGTTACACTCTTTTAGTACTGGTGATACTGGTGACTCTTGAAGTTTTTATGTATTTATTTTCATCACCTTTCCATCAGAAATACAGGTCAGCACACTGATTGCATATGTACTACAAAGCCCCACTCGGTGGCACTGAAAGAGTGCAAGAACTTCAAGACCAGAGCTCTAGGATGGGAGGGTTTAAGAAATTCCTGTGCTCTTCTAAATATCAGATACTACATTTTGATAAACATTTCTTCTTCCCTCAACTCCTACTACTGGGCAGTATTCAATGAGGTCTTTATGCATATAAAGGAAAGACACTGAAATACTTTGGCAGAAGAGTGACTACATATTTAAGAACGCGCTAAAGAAAAGTGGCAAGATATAAACAAAAAAGAGACATGTAGTGAGTTCATTTGAGTATCTATGATTCTATAAATCGCAAAACAGTATTATTATGCATAACATTACAGAAAGAACTACTACAATAATGTACACTTGTGCTTCAGCATAGGTATGTCACAATCTTAACAACCACACACATAAAGTTGAGATGAACTGATTCATGTTTCATGCCAGGGCTAGGACTGATAGAATTAATTTATATTTAACATTAGGGACTTGCTCCAAGAAAAACCAGGGATTAAAACTTTCCTATGAGATCAGGAAGAGCTTGTGAACAGCCTGCCCCAGTAGAGCTTCTGGAAGTGAGCTCTGAGAAAGTACACAAAACTGCACGATTCCCAGCATACTACACTACATCTGATCAATAGTCAGTGATGATGGTTTCGTGATGGTGTTTGGCCCCTCACAATCTTCCTTTCAGTCCAGATGAACTCAGGTCATAGCATATCTTTGCATGTCTTCCTTGGAGGAGAATAGAGAACTATCTTAAACTCCGGCTTGTGGGGGAAACAAGGAAGCAGGAGAACGAACTCATTAGTTTCCTTAAGTTAACAAGGTTTCCTGCTCTGAGAGTCCCTATCTCGCTATTTGCATTCATTAAAAGAAAATGTGTTACAATTTTATGTCATGACAAGGAAATCAGCAATCCTGCAACCTTATTCCACTTGGCTAGATACCTCTCCCTGCTTCAGGTATGTCTGTTTTGATAATGTCAACTGGGAAATCTCTCCTCTAAGCGAGAAGGCTGAGCACAGTCCCCAGCATGGGGAAGACCGTACAGCTTATTTTGTAACAGTGTCTGCATTCCTTCAGAGAAAAGAAAACCCAAACATTAAGCTACAGCTTGTACAAATTCTACTAGAACAGAGAAAGGACATGATGGTGAGTAGACAATAAGTAAATTAACAATTTTCTAAGTCTGACCTTATTAAAATGCTGCACACGACAAAGTGGCTATGAGCTTAATTCACAAACAACTCAATGACAGTGGGATTTCCACAGAATTTAAATGAGAAAAAGCACTTAGAGCAAGCCACTCCATAGCTTCCCTCACATTCCCCCTTTCCTCTTTGCCTCCTAAGTCAGGGCATTTTGAAAACTTAGATGAAGTAGTTTGTCATGATAAATTAATAACTGCAAAGTCAGTTTTTTTGCACTGGATTTGCCTGCCTGCTTTCCAGCCCTTGTAGACAGTCTGCCTTGCCCATTTTCAGGGACTACAGTAATCAGTGAGGGGAAATAAAGGTCACTGCAGAGTAAGGCTGCTGAAGCCTTTTTCCTGTCTCTTTTAAGAGGGATGAAGGGCAACAGAGACTCTTTTGTTAAAACCCCAGCAATTTGCTTGCCTGCTTATGCTGTATGGGCAATAAATTTGTCCTCTTACATGTATATAATAAGTCCTCCAAAACAATAATTAAGCTAGAAGCTAAGTAGTACTGCCAACAGCTCTGATTTTTACAGATTTTTTTTTTTTTAATGCATGAGCATTTTATATACAAAGCACTTTTAAGGTTAGACAAAATTTTCTGTGAAATGAACAGAAGGAGCAAGATAATAAATTCTTTTAACTGATTCAGGTTTTCTTGCATTTCCCAAAATAAAGCTTTGCACTCCTTTGGAATCGCAGAGCAGCTAGACTTTCAGTTATGAGATAGACACCAGGCTGGGATAGTAAGTCTCCTGGCTTAGAGGATCTGTTTAATGAAAAATTTAAAAAGCCTTAGAAATAATTCTAATTTTAGACCACACACATGTATGAAATTCTACAAACTCATGATAATATCATATTAGTAACTGCAGTTGCACCAACTTACCAGCTAAGTATCTTCTAACATATTTTTTTCCCACTCACCAAATTTAGCTCCTAAATGGACTATTAATTTTATCCTTGCTATATAGCTTCTGAACTTGCCATAATTACTGTAAAATTCTTGTCTTGAAGACATTTACCTAGCAAGTAGGAGTTGTATATAACGCAGGAGGCTCTTTAGGTCACTAATATTATGGATCTGTCTTGTATTCTTTTTTGGCCAAAACCAATCTTTATTCACTGCTGACAAAATTTAAATACCCAAGATATGGATGGATACAACAAACATTGCATCATATGCGCTTTTATTTTTCACGCTCTTGTTTTCTCATATCCCTGGAAAAGAGAATTACTGACAGAAGAGGGGAACTTCTGTGGGTTTATAGCGTGCTGACCAAAAAAACCACCCCAAAACCCACAGCGCTTATTTTTCAAACAAAATTGCACAAAATAGCAACTCTGCATATTCAAGAATATGACATATACTGTTGCTCTATTCATAACAGCAAAGATAACATTTCTCAAGGAAACGTTTCCCCCATCCAACGTGATTTAGCCATTGAAGCAGGAGCTAAAGGACTAAATAGGCCTACAGAGCACTGTGCCCCTGCCTGCCAGTGATCCATGACATTCAGCTATCATGTGGCATGACACTCCACGCAACAGGACATTTTATTTTATGGAGAGGAACACCTGTAAAAAAGAAAAACTTCAAAGAACAACAAAAAACCACATAGGAACAGACATGACAGCCTGGTGTTTTTTAAGCTGTTTCAAATCCTAATCATGTAAAAACCAAAAAAAGGAACACATAAGTGCATGACAATCCTGTCACGCCACACAACCTGTTAGCCCATTGGTCACACTCTTCGTCTGCAGACAAGCAGTGGGCATAATGGCTAGGAAAAGATCACAGAAGACCTCAGATGAGGGAAAGTTTTGCGATAAATTAGAAGAAGAGGAAGACAGAGAAGAGAGTAAAATATTACGGTGAATGAAAATAGGGAGCAGGCTGCCCTGCTAACATTTTATTCTTAGATAGAATTTTCTTTAAATACTTTGTACAAATTCTTTTAAAAAATAAATATGAATACATTAATTAGCCAGATCATCCCCAAAAGTTGCTCATTTTTTCAGTGTTTCTGAAGGCCGTTAATATTCAGGCTGGGTTTTGAGGTCAGAGTTCCAAGTCTGGGAAAAGACCAGCTGTTCAGCAGCATAAAGTGTCCTTCTTTATTGAGATATTTAACTTGCATTCCTAGGATAATCCACCACCACAGTAATGGCATCTTTCATATCAGACACGTAGTAACCATCCAGGAATTTCTTCCCCTCTTTAAATACCAACATCAATGCCTAAAAATAGTGTTTATCAATCGCTACTTAGCCTATCAGGACAGAAACACATTCTTTTTTTGACTCTTAAGAATTCTTAATTCCTAATTAGGAATTCTTGTTCACAGGCTTTTTTTTTATTTTTTAAAGAAAATTGAATAGTTGTATATGAGAGAGAGATACTACAGGCACACAAAACATGATTTATCATATTTCTTCCAAAAATATCTCACAAGCCACACTAGGACAACAGGTATTAGACAATTCATGCAGACACCTACCTAACCATTTAGGCCAGAAAACAAATGCTTTTTATTAGTCTAAATTATTCTAGTGTACAAAATTCATACAAAATGAATCCAACTTCAGATTTGGCCAGGATACAGCCCCCTTTTGCATGATCACAGCTATTAATGGGCTGGTTGTTTCACATCTGGCAGGCAATGCTGCTTCAGACATCTAGTGCAACTTAAACATCTGGCTGGTATATTACCTTCTTACTAATTATTCAAGGAACAGGTCCAGCCTAATGAATCTGTTAGCACTTCCTAGAGCACTTTTTCCTATTTTTTTGTATAGCATTTGCCTTCTTTTAAATGGCACTGCCTTTGCTCTGCAATCTACGAGGTACAAAATAGCATCATTTCGCCTGCTGCAAGCGCAGACGGATAGTCACTGAGTGGTTGACCAGCAGCTGGTCAGGACAATCTTGACCCTGCTGTCCAAACCCTACAGGGATGGGTACAGTTACACTGCTTGTGGGATAGAAGAGGTATGAGGTTAAAACCTCACTCTCATCCTGTGACCCAAAGCACACCATGACTACTAAAATATCTCTCTCCCATTGTCCACTCACACCCTTCAAGAATTAGATGCAGATCCTGAAGGCTTACTCTCAAACTCTAAGATATGGCCAAAAATTTCAGCTGTTTATGAAAACCAGGCTCAGCAGTTCATGTACCCTTACAAGTCACCATGTTCAAAGGTAATATACGCTTAGACTACAAAACTTTGTTTGAAGAAATGAATTAAAGGATAACCATTTTGTTTCATATTCTGAGAACTGCTTCTCTCCAGAGCAAGAGCTTTACAAGTTCAGAATTTCACAAATTTCAGAAGAAAACAAAACATACAGAGACCCTTAAAAAAAAAAACCAAAAAAAGAAGAACGTGCCATACTGTTTTACCACAATTTCTTCTGTCTTTGCATTTAACCAGTTGGTTAAAATCAACTATTATAAAAAACACAGCCAAAAAACCCCCAACACCTATTTCCTGACCAGTAAAACCTCCTTCTCACATGGGTGAGTTGATTTAATTATGTCAAATCACTTGAACAAAATTCCACTTTCTTGGAGCAGTTCTCTTAGAACCTTTCATTCACACCCTTTTTCATGCTGTCTTGATTTAATACAGTAAGGTCTGGATCCAAAGATTACTCAAGTGACCCACTCTTTCCATTGTCCTTAATGAGCCCTAAGCCATGCCTCAGTACATTTGTTTGTCTTCAAACCTTGGCAATCTTAATCTAATGAAAGAAGAATTAAAAAAAAAAAAAAAAAGAAAAAAAAGAGGGAGAGAGAGAAAAGAGGTGTATGCTTAATCCAGTGTTTAATTTGCCATTTTTTAGCCTGATACCATGAAGAAAAGCAGAGTACTTTTTTTTGTTGTTGTTAAAAAACCAAACAACTCCCCCCCGCCCCGCCCCGCCCTGAACCTTGTAGGGGATCCAGGTTTGCTATTTAGCTCTTCTTATGTATATAGAGCACCCTCAGACATCTAAATAAATTTTACAATCAGAGAACTGAAATCCAGTAGTTTGGTACTGTACTTGAAATTAAACATAATACCTACATTAAAGAAGAAGAGAAACAGCCCAATAACTTGCTGGATTAGCACATTCTCCTCCCTCATTTGCAATAAATACTGCATGACTGTCTTGTGACAACATGACTTCTTACATAGTCTCAACCAGTCATTCACCAAGGTCCTAAATTAGTGAAACATTTCAACACTTGTTTAAACTTGAAGCATATATGAGTAACCCCATCGCTGCTCCATTGCCAGAGACTGGGTATGTGATAAAAAGTTTCCTAAATAAAACCTTTAATTTTAGATATAAACATTGTACTTTAAATGTAGGATTATTGATCTAGTCTGAAACTCACTCAAGTCAGTAGTCCTAAAACAGTGTGGTAAAAAAGATTCCACCATAATGCTACTTACATCTCAAATTTTATATGAAGTTAAGGTTATTAGTATTTTTCTTCCTTTTACATTTAAGTATGCAAGTAATCACTTGATAATTCTGAGAGGTATACACCAAAAATGCCATAACCATTGTTTGGGTACCTGTCATGTCGTACGATAGGTGTAGGCAGGACACAGGTCAGGAGCCATCCAAACTCAGCCAGCGTGTGCAATAAAGGTCCATAATCTGTTTTCATTTCACACCCCTACATTAATAATTATAAAAAGTAGTAAAGAGACTCTGTACAGGTTTTATTTGCATTTCTACAAAAATTACAATGACTCTCCTCTAATTTATAATGAGATATTCCTTTGAGATGACATTGAACTATGTTATTTGGTGGAGATTCACTATTTCAATCTGAAAAAATTTTGAAAAGTTCAAGACTACAGAAGTCTAGGAAAACGGACAGAACATATTAACTTTAGGTATGAGCCCTGATTCAGCAAGACATTCAAAGCACATCTCACTTGTTAAACTTATCATGTTGCTAAATTAATGCCTAAAACTTTTTAAACACCATAATAGGTGTCTCGATGTATTTAAGGTTTTTAGTTCATATCTGAATAGCAAGCATCTAATCTAGCTATATACTTAAGTTTTTGGGTTTTGGTGGTTGGTTGGTTTGTTTGTTTTTTATATATATATATACAAGGTCTTAATTTTATGCTGTTTCTTTTCACATTGGTAAATTTATTTATCATTGAATATTTCAGAAGTAAGCCGGTTTTATCCTCCAACAATGATTACTTTCAGATGTCATTAATTCATACCAATAATCTTAATATTAAAATATTAAAAAACATTAAATAATTTTATTGTTGTACCATGCTACAGTAGTACATGTAAATTTATTAGGAAAAATGAAGTCTTTCATATTTAGCAGTAAATTTTACTAAGAATATACATTTGAAAACCATACTCAATTAACTATCAATTTCTTCTTGTTCTGTTACTAGTTTTTGCTATTTTCTTCCCCTTTTTATTTAAAAATACTTCAGCACATCATCAGTGGAGCTGCACTTGCTGAAATTATGTCTACATTGGTCTGACACACATACATTAAAAAAAACCAAACAAACCCAAACAAACAACATTTTCTCTGGTGGTTGTATTTGTTGGTATGAACACTTGTAAATGTCAGGCCAGAATCCCTGCAGCATATTTCTTTTATGCGCATTGACCAATGGCCACAGGCCTGACTTAATTTTTATGATTCAAGGCTTTAGTTTAGCTTATGCAGGTGGCTTCAAGAAACCATCCCGAATGTTTATCAAACACTGGTACAAGCATTCTAAGGAAAAACAAAGAAAAATATAAGTAGGAAATAGCGTTGCTAAATAATCACCAATTTACCTCAATGACTGTCCATTGTTCAACAACTATTGCATCATTTCCTTTCCTGTTAGAACCTGGAACCCCAGCACCTTCTTCTTCATAGATAAATAATCCTTCTAAAGATTTGGGTAAATACTCCCCTGTGAACATAAAGACAAATATAAACTGAAATATAAAGTTTTAGGTTGATATCTTACTGAGGTGTACACATGGGCTTGTTTTTTCTCATTGAACAGTCCTCTAAAATAAAATTAACTGAGACAGCGAATAACTCAAATTTGATGTTATTTCTGCATCTAGTTACAACTTGATGAAGTATGCAAGTTATTATTCAAAACCATTTTTTCTACAAAAATTGAACTATGAACTGTTTCATTTTCTCAAAACCATTAGCCACTTCCATGCTCAAATCTGAATTCCAATTTTCTGTATTCAACATATTCCCCGCAGCAGATGGACACAAACCCTCTTTATTCAACTTCAATATTGTATGCCTTACAATAAATGTGGCTTTTGGCGTGGTGGGAGAGAGCATAAAAATAAATGAAGCATGGAGTGCAAAGTCTAGCTACTGTTACTTAAATAAATACGTAAACGACCACAGGAAGAGCCTGAAACAGAAGTAATTGTAGGAAGATTCCTGATGGGAAGGAAGTTTCAGAGCACAACTCCCCGACTCACTTGTCAAAGCCTGACAGTATCCGGTTGGCACAAACTAAAGCTGTGCATCAAATATTGGTTCATTTTCTGGTTTTGCTTCTCCTAAGAGCCATTGGGAAGCCTTTTGTGCAGATGTACCTTGACAGCTGACTACCTTAAACTAAATTTGAAGAGTAAAATTATGTAATCCTCAGAATATCAGATTTAAATCCTCTCCAATATCGCACAAAGAGATGTAAAGAGATGATTGTTTTTGCCACAGCTTCAGGGAAGGCAGACAAAGAAAAAAAACACCTAGAGAACAAAGAAAACTTACAGAATACAACTGGTCTGGTTTTAAAAATTGACCGGATTGGCACAGAAGTTGTGCTATATAAACCAGAAATTCCCATTTTTTGAGCATGCTTGTTAATGTACCATAAAACACCAACTATGTTTTCATACTATTTTTTACTATATTGCATGTTGCAGATTTATGTAGTTTGAGTTATGATTATCTAGATACTTGCATGCATATGTATCTCTTCCACGCATTTGTGGAGATATTGGACATGTTATTACATTTTTAGATTACACATAAATGTAATGCAATTGTATATGGACCTGAATATATGGCTTCAGGCACAAACATATGAATATTTGCACAGCTCCTAATAATTCATAAATACTCAATCCTATAAATTCATGGACTTTGACCTTTCTTCAGTGTTCAGGCAGGTACTTAAAATGGGCAGTCCACTTCGAACATGTTAGAATATTTCCTTTTCTATCATTTTTCAAGTGTGATAGAATAACTGAATTTTAAACAGTTATTGACATAAGATACCTCCACTCAGTGGTATTTTGAGACAAACTGATAATTTATAAAGTGCACCATGTCAAAAATCACCTCTATTGAAAAAGCTACGTGTGGCTAACTGATTCACCTGCATGACAGATAACACAAACCAGAAAAAGCAAAAACATTCCCACAGCACTTCCACAAATCTTAGGTACTTCTGTGATCATGAGAGCCTCCAAGGCAGCTACAAATGAGGAAACACTACAATGGTCCAAATGGCTGCTAAAAGAGAACTTACCTGGCTTGTTTTTATGACTGCATCCTCTTTTGGCGGCAGAACACAGAAGTTGGTAATTGACAATTTTTTTAATTTTTTTTTTTTTAATTCTTTTTGTGTTAAAACTTCCTCCTACCTTAAATTGGGTATTGCATTTTGATCCTGGTAGCAACAGAATTCTGCTGACTTTGCAGAACATATAGAGTCCAAACCAGAGGAAGATTTCTGCAGCTGCCTGACTTGTATCTGGTGTTTTTATTTTTATTAAAACAATAGCTAAAGTTTGCTCATTTCACTAAAGCTGTATAAAAGGACAGCTACTGCTAAAGACACCTCACAGTCTAAAAGCAAAAAAACAGAAGTGAGGTGAAGATGATAATTAAATGCACATGCAGACATACAAGAAGTAATTCCAGTAATTAGTGCAAGTGCATAAATACTTTTTCTCCCCCAAAAAGCATGTCAGGTTTCCCTCTGTTGGATGCAAAACTTTCATCTCTTCAATGTTCACCTGAAGAACAAACATTTTAGCTGAAGAACTCAGTAGCTAAATTAATTTCTTACTGTGGTTACAGACACTTGATCAGCTGCAGAATTCCATCCACATAGTGAACTGTGCCTTTGAATACATCCAGTTTAATTCAGACCCACCCATGAGTCTAACTGAAACACATACCAGTCAAGTGGGGCTGAAGGAGAAGCACCAACTGCTGCGAAGAGGCAGCATGAAATCCCTAAATAAGTCCTAACCTGCGTATTAAAGATGGGATAGTTATTCATGTAGAGAAGTTACAGGGGAATGGGAAGACTGTAAAACTGTTGTTGGACAACAGCTGCAAAGATTAATTTCAACAGCTGCCAAAAACACCCCTCAGTGAATTGTAACATATCTCCAGACAGTTATTTTCTAGCTCTAAAAGATCTGTATTGAAAACTAGGAGTCTGATTTCTCACCTCTCCTCCCCCAAAGGAAACTTTGTTCTTCCACTGACTTCAACAGATGGGAATTATAATTTAAGAGCAAAAAAGATGACCAATACAAACTGCGCCACTAGACTGTTTATGTGCACAAAATATGCAGTTTGAGAGAGACTAGCTGCCAAATTCAATCTGAGGTAAATATAGTGATGTTGATGCGCTTGTGTTCCTCTGACAATCACTAAATCTACTTTATTGCAAAGATACAGAAACGCAGTGATGCACACTCAAAACTAAACTACCACCAACAATGAAAACTGAAGTGTTCTCATTATTTTCAGGGTTTGATTTTTGAAGAACCCACATCATCTGATTTCCAAAGATTTTGTTTAAAACTTTTTTTAAGCCCTTCACTGATCCAAGCCTTGCAAAGGGGATGCTGAATGCGTATTATTTTACATCAGAATATCAGAAAAAAAAGCACTAATTAAGACATACAGTAAATATAAAAACTACTCCAAACCCCACTAATTCTACCCTCTTTGTACAATTCATCTAAGAAGCAGATGTAAAATGACTTATGAAAGCTGCTTTAATACATTATTAAGTAAACTACTGCACTTGATAATCAGCCTGAGTATTGCAAAAATTGTTTAGGGTCTCTGAAACCTTTTCAACAAACTTTCTACAAGACTCTCCTCCACTGCAGCCCTGTGTTTTGCTTGCTTACACTGAACTGCCATAAGCAATTTTAAAGGAACACCAACAACTGAGGACTTAGTACAAGCAAGACATGAACAAATCCAGCCAAAGACTAAGTATTAGTGAAGTATAAATTCTAAGTTTGCTATCAAACAACATTTATTACAATAATTAATACATTCTGAAATTATTAACTATGTCAGACTCTCTTGGTCTGTTCCCCTAACACTAGAGTATAACCATTTTCTTCACATTATTTTCAAGTAATTGCACAACAGTAGCTACACACTATTTTTTGCAACACTTCTAATTTTTGGCTTTCAGACAAATTCAGTTCAAACGGAAATGAATCTCTTAATTACATATTTTACCAACAACAGAGTTTTAGAGTTCAAAACACTTCAGCCAATAAAGAGCTTCTTTTGTTGTCAGCAGTGGTACAGCACTGTCTGACAGCTCTGCCAAAGCGCAGGATTTTGGGCTCAGCAGGGTGTGCAGCGATGGGCCTGGGCCAGCAGCGGCACTGCTGACATCAGGCTTGTGTCTATTCATCAGGAGGATGAAGGCTAGGAACTCTGAAAGAGCTAGGAGGCTCTCTGGAGAATAAAAACTGAGATCCAACTGAGACTGGCAGAATAACGAAGGAAATTTGAAAATCCTATGACCTGAAGCTCTATCATTGTAGCAACGTGAGTGTTAACTGAGCTGGTAGATTCCTGCAGAAGAGCACAGGATGCAGGAGGGACGAGGGAAGACCTCTTCCGGCTGTATGAAAAGGTCTTGGAGGATCTGCCTACAGTTGAGGGCAAGGATAAAAACATATTTCTCTACTCGCTGCATTTGTCCACGTCTGATTAGAACAACCCGCAGAAACATTGTGAAACTTCAGGATCAACAGTCAAATTTTAATGCAATTTGGTGTTTTGGAAAGAATTTAAGCCCAGCAAAGAGCTGGAGAAAGCAGGAAGCACGGAAAGTCTGCCTTAGGTTTAACGGTACAGTAAGCACGATGAGAACTCAAGGTGCTCTTTTGTTTCATTAGAAATATTGAACAGAGTGCAGCACAGTATCTACAATGAGCAGCAGAATACGAACATCAGGGAAACATCAATCTAATGAATTTCTTCCCCATTGTCTTTTCCTTTAAAAAAACAAAACAAAGAAAAAACAACTTGCACAAAAGGTTTATTTCATTATAATGCTACACTACTTTCCTGCTTTGGAAATCCTCTATTTGATAAAACAAAGCAGAAATTTCAATTATTCACAGCTATAACTGCCCAGAAAACAAGTTATTCACTCTTCAGTTATCAGATTCTATAAATTTACAATGACTATGTGAACTTATTTACATATTGCCCTTCACACCAAGAAGCAAAACATGATCTACTTTTTGCAAATTATATAGTTCTACATAAACAAGTAAAAGCTTCATGATATTATGGGACAGTACTCACCTTTAGAAGTTTCCCAGTGTACAAAAGAATCAATTAAGGACAATCCTTGTTTATAATAAAATGTGGTTAATTCTAGCCAGTCTGCTTCCAGTGTACTAATAACTGGCCCCTTTCTTGTTACTTTCATAGACAAAACACCTTCGTGATAGGTCCAGCAGGTAGAATCATCATCAAAAACATTGAAGACTGTGTATAGCTTGTCTAAGAAAAGAAAAAGGAAGAAGAATGAACCCCTGGAAAACAGTAGTCAAAAATATTATTTATCTCTTATTTCAATGTGGCTTTCTAATTCTAGGAAACAGTTTTCTATTTCTTTAAACAGTTTTAAGAATTGTTTCCTGATGTGACTGTACTCAGCTTGAGCCCTAAACACACTGAGGACAAGGTGTGAGGGGGGTGACACTCTGGGATATGAGAAAAATTTTAATATATTACAGTTGGGTTGTCACGGGACCTTTTTTAGGTAAGTGGGTTTTACATAGAGAAAATACACTAGAGCTAAGAAAAATCCAGTGGAAACAGGCTTCATTTCTGCTGCTCATGGAACTTCTGACTACAAATATTTGAAATTACTATAACCAAAGATTAAAAACCATTTTCTAAATTTTAAAATATTAGGAATGCCTTGTACAATATTGATTTTTACCCATTATTTTCTCAAGATTACTTAAGTACCAGTATAATTAGTTGCCTACTGGGGTCTCCCACACAATAACTGATGAGTGAGTTAAGCATACAAAATCTGCGTATCCTCAAATGCTTTTTATATCTAGGCATTAATACACTGCTTTTACAAAATCATTCATAAACAAGCATTCATCAAAAATTAAAATCCACAAATCCACAGCATTTTAGGAAATCACTGATAACAAGTTATGAAGTCTTAGCTGTACAAATGTATTCTACAAATACACTCACACATATGTCACTGCTGTGGAGAAATAACACAAAGCAGTTGCCAAAAAATACTCTCAGATTGTCTAATACTTCAACATCGAAGCAGCCTAAATCAACACAAACTAACCTCTAGAAAGCAGAAGTATTCACATTGCCAAAACAAAGGAACTTGGTTTAGATGACCCCACTTAAGACACTAGCCTCTCTACACTCCAGAAATAGAGGGAGATTTTGAAAGTAGGATTTGGACTGTAAGTAGTCTGAACCAATCTCTGAGAGAGCCCCTCTCTGTTTTGAGAAGTGTTACCACACCCACTGCAAGTGACATTAGGTGCCTGGAATAAGGTAGAGTAAATTCAGGACAAAATTTTGAATTCTCTCAGTAAGAGATGACTCTCCTTTCTATAGAGTTTTATTTTATCACCTCCACAGGTGGTTGTATTAGCATAAATGTGTTTACCCTGACAAACCTTAATTTCCTTTCCCATATACTAAAGTGAGATCACTTTTATATTTGTTCTTCAGAAAAAAATAATCAAGTTTCCCAATCCAACTATTCAATTGCTCATGTGTATTAGAAATTTGCCTCTGCAAGTGGCGTATTAATAGTCAAAATTCATACATTATGACCCCCAAATCTAGAACTCAGACACAGTTTTGCATCTTTTGAGGAGACCTAAATAGAAATAGCATATTGAAGTAGCACTACATGCCTACATGCATGTAAGGCTTGCTTTGAAAATTCACACCAGTATTTCTTAAAATGTTGGTTACATACAACATTTGCAAAGAAAGGTGGTTAAGTTTTAAGAAGTTTTGTCTTATGAACTCCAGTAACTTTACTGAGTATTTGACTAGTACAGAGAAGCCTGGCATATTCTTGCCAAAGCTTTTTGAAGAATTTCCTGAGAACACTGCACATGGAGGATGCACTGGTTGCTTATCTACCTGGTCGCACCAGTCTGCACAAACAAAGCTCCTTAACAGAACCAAGAGTTTTTCACTTTTTACTTACAGGATTTCTGTTCTGCTACGTATAGCAAACCCACTATTTCAAGCTGTAAGGAAAGAGTTAAGCTTTAACAGATCATGCTATAAAGGCTCAGTTGTGCAAGAACTGCTTTAATTCAAGTGTTGAAAATAACAGGGACATTGATTATCTCAGTGCTTAGAGTCATTATCCTGACAGTCTACAAACTGGAGAGGGTGCTTAACTCTTAACAGGAAAGTAAAAAGGTTGCTTTTGAGTGCACTTAAAACAGGTTCTTCCCTGATGGGCCAGACATATTATGGCAAAATGCAATCTGACATGAAAGTTTCATGCTGCCTGCTTTCTCCACAATACTGTCTTGCATTAGTTCTCCTGCTTTAGATTACCTCTTCCTTTTCACCTTTTCTTCCTAGCAAGCCAGGAGGCCTTAGTGCTTCAGTATCAGAAGTCACTGTTTCAGGCAATCTCTCCCACACAGACTACACTAAGTATCTCAGATTCTTCTACAACTAAGTTTTCTACCACAGCACCAACATTTTTCAATGATACTTTTCCTTCCTACACAACTTTTTAATGCTTACTTTTCTCTAGTGTAAATTCATTTTGTAACAATTATCCTCTTTGATTTCATGGTCAATGCATTAATTTAAGTGATCTCTTTCAGGATCCTTCTTGAAGGCATGTTAACCAGAAAGAATCCATTAGGAATGGATTTGTTTGCTGTACATTATGTGAGTTGGCTAGAAGCATGTAACATTACAGCTCTGGCTGGAAGGGGCTCTCTTTGAGACAGCTCTGTTTTGAAAAAGGCAGAACTGGATTTCCAAGAATATGTTCTGATGCCATTACATGTTTATGTTTTAATATTAAGAGTAAGCGAAAACTATATGCATTTAGGAAAAGGTTTTAAAACAACTGCATCCTTCTAAATGAAGAGATTTTTACTGCCCCATATTTGTTATACACTATACACATATCAAGCAAAAAAGCTACCTGTTTGCACCACATTTAAAATCAGAATGACGCTGTGGGCGATTTTGGGGGGTTTGTTTGCGTTTTTCCCTTTTTCTTTAAACTACAAACTAGAATTATGACAGTGCATTTACAATAGTCTATATGAAAATTGAAATATCAATTTAATATATTACCACAGTTCACACACAGAGCAGAACGTAAATATTTCTTCTGTTTCTTCCACTGGCAACTTTATTAGAAACACGTATGCATTTAAGGAAGATGCATCTTCCAAAACCGATATTTGATACAATAGAACATGCTGTTCTGTTATTTCTTTCCAACACCTTTTTAAAACAACAGCTCAATAAAATACCTTATTTCTGCAATAAACAAGCAGCATTTATTACCGTCTCCTTTTCGTGGTTTAACAGGGCTGACTTCTTTTCCAAACTGGAAATCTGCATCCTGTAGCAGACTGCTTTCTGCTTGCATTTCCTCCTCTATCCCACTCTCAGATGAGTGACCACTCAATGTCCCTTCATTCCAGTTTTTATAGTTTTCATCAGAATTTTTTCTTCTGTGTTCCCTATTTCTTCTGCCCAGCGTTGATTCCACCTCTGTACTTCCATCTGCGCTTGTTCCATTACAGGCTTTAGGTTGAGGAAAATGTTGCGTTACAAATCCCACAAACTTCTTTCCTCTTTTAGCAGCTTCGTTAACCTGTATTTACAACAGAAATCTGTCTGCAAAGTGATTTTAGAATTACATGTAACTTAAAAAAAAACTTTTATATTCATGTTCTGTTTAACTAAACTGCTGATTTTCAAGGACATAAAGACACAACACTGTACTATAGAAGGGTGGCTTGTCTTTGTATGCTGCCCATGTTTCAAAGTAAATGGAAGTCTTCCAGCATGTCTTTGGACTCAGGCCAAGAACGGTGGCCAACACTGGTACTGACTTTAGTGTATACAAAGTCCTTCATTTAGAAGAAATCCAAAGTATTTTACTTGCTGTGTCGTAGTGATAAGCAGTATACTGGTGCAATAAATAGTACTGTTTCTCTAAACATGTGATACCAGTCATACTAAAATTACTGGCCACTAATACTATAGAAATATCTGTTTGTCATGTGTCATGATTCATTATCCCCCGGTTCCCTTAGAGGCTACTCAGCTTCACTATTACTGAGAATAGTGAAAGAGCAGAGAAAGGAGGGAGCTAGAAGCAAATTAAACCCTCCTTAACTCTGCTTTCAGCCAGTGGTGGGTCTTTTTCTCTGCACTGAAGTCTCAAAATACAACTGTAGAATATGTGCCACCTGTGGGATGTGTGTCTGTTCTTGGAGGGAGGAGTTTTTTTTGCTGGAATAAGAAGTGCTGCCATTTAGGAAGGTGATCCCAGTGCCATCTTGTGCTACAAGCTCCCCTGTGCAATGAAGTCTTTCCAGGAAAATACAGACACACAGCCCAGGAAGAAGACATCACATAGGAAGTACTGGATTAAGTGAGGGCAGAAAGGGAAGGATCTCTACCCAGTTAACTCACATACTATTGTATCAAAAGAGTGAGTAACACTCAAATAGTTTATGGTACTATAATCCCTTTTTAGTACCATGATAGACTGAACTGTTACTATCTATCACCATTATGTACGTACAGCAATGATACGATATGCCAATCACTCTGATTATACAGAGCTGCTGCTTCCAAGACAACCAAAATAATTTTAAATGTGACAAGCAACATGCAGAAAAAGAGGTAATATGACAATCTTCTTTTTTTTTTTTTTTTTAAGATCTGAAACAAGTAATTTTTTTACTGGATTACTGGCTCAGTTTTTTAAAACACTGGGAGCATTTTAAAATAAAATTATTTTCACACGCTACTTCTGTACCAGATTTGCTTGCAAGACTGAATCAAGTGTACTTCTCCTTTAAATGTTTGTCTGGTATGCTATACAACCAACCTGGCAATATACATACAGTATAAATGTGTAATGGAAACCCATTTTAAATTTGAAACACCTAAAAATTTCAAAACAAGCCATTTAGAAGTTTTAAACAATTCTGTGATTATTTCAAAGATCATTAAAGATCTCCAATATGCTTCTTCCTCTACTTCTTTCCTTGGCAATTAATATAAAAGATATCACTCTAACACTTGTAATAACAATCGTTTCCTGTTTCAGCAAGTCTTCAATTTTGCAGAGGAAGTTAAGCACAAAAAGAACTAGAAATAGAGTTTACATTCCAGTGGAGGTTTAGTTTTCTTTAACTATACAGTATTTTCAAAACAGTTACTGTGTATTTTGTATTTCTGTTAATGAATGAAAAAAATCTGTCTTAGAAATTGAATACACTCATGTTCATTAGGAATACCTTAACTTAACCCAGAACAACATAAAACTTCAGGGTTTTTTTTAATATTAATTCCAGAAAAAGCTATCATGCAAGCATTTTGTAAAGAGTGACTGAGAGTTTGGGCCTGATTCTGCTTTCAGTGGTGTAAGCAGCCAGTCTCCCAAGCTTTACAGAGCTCAGTAATAAGTCCTAAATTAGAAAAAGCAACTAGTGAAGAAAAATAACTCCTTTTGCATCAAGAAAAGCCTCTGTAGCTTCTATAAAATAAACCAAGGTTAAAACTCAAACTTAAAAAGATATCACCTACTAAATATAACTTACATGTATGGTAGAAATAAAAGTCTGAAGAGAAGTTTGAAAAAACCCTCCATTACCTTTTCTAACAGTTCTTTCACTACCTCATTTGTCAGTGTTTCATACATTAAAGGACATTCCTCAATCACCAGCCTGGGGTGGCTTTGTCCTCTGGGTGCTGTATGCTTCTGGCTAGAACACAGGAAGAAAGCAGTCTTTGTCAGTAGTTTGCCGCTAACTTGGGCAAATGCTTGCACATAGAATTCTTTTCTTTTGGAATAGTTATGAATGAAATCCTGGCAATGCCCTGGCAACACTTCTTCATGCTTTTATTTAGAACTCAGGTTTTTGGTGTTTTGTTCTGTTTCTTACACAAAGTGGCAGGTACTGTATATTGCAATGTCAGGGCAAGAAATTAATAATTTAACAGGAATTTCATCTGAAGACTGTCAATAGACATCTTTTGGAAACTGAGCTTTATTGACAAACAGCCCTGCTTTTGTAATAAATAAACCCCAAAATCTCTGATAACGCAAAAAATACAAATTTAAGCTATAAATGTAGCAAACACAAAACATGTTCAGTTTTGTAGAAAACATGCTATGACTAGAAATGGTACTTTCACACTGTTAACGTGCTGCTATTTAGTTTTTCTAACTAAAGCAGAGTTGCAGCTATTTTATGAAATACAGTGTAGGCAATTACTAGAAATACATTGCAGTAACAATTACTTTGCGTTAGGTAGTGTTTAAATCACTCAGATTTGAGATTCCAACAAGCTTTAACTTCCATTTGTCCTGGTTTCAGCTGGGATAGGGTTAATTTTCTTTCTAGCAGCTGGTATAGTGTTATGTTTTGGATTCAGTATAAGAATAATGTTGATAACACACTGATGTTTTCAGTTGTTGCCAAGTAACGTTTAGACTAAGTCAAGGATTTTCAGCTTCTCATGCCCAGCCAGCAAGAAGGCTGGAAGGGGCACAAGAATTTGGGAGGGGACACAGCCAGGGCAGCTGACCCAAACTGGCCAAAGGGATATTCCATACCATGTGATGTCATGCCCAGTATATAAACTGGGTAGATCTGGCCTGGGGGGATTGCTGCTTAGGAACTAACTGGGCATCGGTCAGCGAGTGGTGAGCATTGCATTGTGCATCACTTGTTTTGTATATTCTGATTTTTAAATTATTGTTGTTGTCATTTTATTATTGTTCTTATCATCATTATTATTTTCTTCCTTTCCATTCTATTAAATTGTTCTTGTCTCAACCCACAAGTTTTACTCCCTCCCTGGCCCTGATTCTCTCTCCCACCCCACTGGATGGGGGGGAAGTGAGTGGCTGACTGGTGCTTCGTTGCAGGGTGGGGTTAAATCACGACACCATTTAAAGTTAAAGAATAGTATTCATCATGTTTTATCTAAAGCTAGTTAGGTTATTACTCAGACAACAATATTTGGTGTATATCAATAATATAATGTGATTTTATTTGACGTTTCCTTTGCACAACCACCTGCTTTAGAATGAAACAACAATGAGACACAAATATAAAAGGTTACTTTCCAGATAACAGTCAGAGAAGGTGTATTGCCTATAGGAAAACCAACACAGGTACATATGGCGCCTGCATAGGAAATGGGGAATCTACACCCAACAGTTTCACATGTTGGCTGCAGGGTCTCATCCTTCACCTATTCAAGGTCCTAAAGGTTCAAACCACAACTTCGTAAAGATCCCACATCTACAGGGATAAGGTGAGTTGTGGGAGCTGTGTGCTGGCAGACTCAGCTCTTAGAAGCCTCAGCTCCAGAGAGCAAGTACTCTGCTTTTCTTACTTTTCAAAGCATTTACCCACATGGACAACATTCACCTTGTTAGCAGATGAATTTATAAAGGTAAGTTGCATGAGCAGCAAATATCACAGACAATGCTTGTTTAAGCAAAGCAGTTGAGAAGCTCCCTCAAATGAACCATGGTTCACGGAAGCATTACTGGAGTGGCAGGGGGCACCTTCTGACTCACACCCCTCTGGTCTTCCAAAGAAAATGAAAGCAGCTTTGTGCATCACACTAGGACTCAGAAGAGAAGGGGAAGCATGACGGCTCTTAATGCAATACGAAATCCACTTTTCTAGTTATTCAGAGCAAGAACAAAAGGTCATCTTCTTTGCATTCAAAAGAACTAATGGTAAAATTTCTTTGTACATTTTCTTTTATGATCACGTGGTGATTACAATGCAGCAAAACCAGGAGTAATAAGCAAGACTATGGAACTGGAACATGAACACAAACTCTTGACTCTCCCCTCAGTGTCAAAACCAAGCTTTTGTATGACCTCCAATCACAGAATGATTATTTCCTTCTTATTAAGAAGGAAAAATAAACTATCTCTGACAAACTAATTCACACTTTATAGCTTGTTTTCCCTGAATAATGCTCTTATGGGAAAAGTAAAAACATGAAAGTTTTGAAAATTAAGAAGAAAAAACAAACATGAGAGAATTTAAAGCAGCTTATTACTCTTAGTGTTTTGTTTAATCTTGTATTCGCTGCAGGTTCTAAGACAGATGATAATTTATTATAAAAATGTATTAAAAATAAAAGGCTAAACCAACAATTTATCTTCCCACAAATTATGATAAGCAACTTTGGATTTTTTTTTTGGACATTTACTAAGGCAAAGTAAACATTAGCCTATTGTGTACTTAGTGTTAATTAAAAAACATTACTAAACTTGCTCACCTTTCCAGACAAGGAACAGTTATTTGATTCTCTGAGGTGCTCATTTCAAGCTCGTAATAAATTATGCACGTTGAGCAATCCACTTACAAATGGCTTAAGTAATGGATCAATGTATTCAAATTATTTCACTGTTACCTTAATTTTAATCGTGAAAGTACCACTCGATACATGTGACTTGCAGGGAAATTCCTTCTACGTCCAATTGGCAGTATAATAGGATGAACAGCTCCTACAATATATCCTTTGCTGTAATATTCTTCCACCTTAGATGCTATATCCAACACAGAACTGATCTTGATAACTTCTGGATTTGGGGAAGCTAAAAGTGTTGAAAGCAGAAGAGAAGCACATTATACTATGTATGCCCATATACTTTTTGGGTGAGTTCCTTTTATATAAACCACACAAAATCCATCCCAAGGCATTTACTAAAAAACTACAGTTCTATTTATACAAGAAAAGGCAGATTCACAGCTGATTCAACAGTATTCAACTACTTGAAGTATGTATTTTTACAAGTTAATATGATCTGGCTTTAATCTATTTGGCAACACTTTCTGTTGGATCTGGCTTGGCCAAGCTAATTTAAGAGTAGCATCAACATCTAAACACACAATAGGTCTGAACTTAACAAAGCAACTATTTTGCCTAGCCAAAGCCTTAAACATACTGAAGCAGTATCCTTAAACCTTGGTTGTGAGGTAAATTCCCGTACAACAAATTTAAGCCTAGAACAACTGGTTTGTTTTTCTTCAAAAGTTTGTTTTGATCCTTAGAAGTGACCTGTGGATTGTAGGTTGAACTTTTAACATAGTCCCAATTCCTTTTTCCAGTAGACCTAAGTACATGTCACCTAAGCTTTGTGGTGTTTTAATTTCTAAGGAGGATCCCTCTGAGTGTGTGCAAGCATTTCCAATCAAAAGGCAACAGCTAGGTACTATACAGCTATTGGGGGAAACTACATAGATAAAGGGAAAACTTTTTGGAGAACTGTTTTTGAACAGTCTGGTCCACAGCTTTTTTTACAGAGAAAAAGGAAGATTCCACACTAGTAATAGACAACATTCTGCCACAGTCAGTCTGATGGTCAGTATTTCCTGTGCTACTCAACTCCAACTGGAATTGTAGATGCTCTCAGAAAGCAGGAAATCAATATTCATATACAGATGGCAACTGAAGAGCAATTATGCCAGCATATATTTGCCATCATCAAAATTTGCATCCTTTGCAGATATGAACTCTTATGAAAAGACAGCTTGGCTTGGAATTTGATGGTCTCTATCAGCGACCCTTGCTGCAAGTGACGTACTTTTTTGTGTTCTGACGAGTCCCTCTCTTTGCAAAACTTTCAGTGCATTAAGACCAGTGTTCAACTGTGTTAAAGGATGCCTCAATTGGAATTAAGTGACCTCACAACGCTTTTTTTGAGATACAAACATTTTAACATGCTGCTTTAAACATTCCCTTTCAAACCATACAATAAACTGGAAACAATTAAATACACCAATTCATCTTTTATTCTGTAATTTAAAAAAAATGATATAAAAGAAAAAAGAACAGATAAATGTGATGACATAAATCTCACTCACCACTTCATAAGTGTATTCATTAAGAGTTAATTTCATGTTCTTACATCCTCTTATCTACCTGCCCTATATTGTAGGTGGGCAATAGCAAGGAATTTAAGGACTTTATCAAAAGACACAGCAAGTCACAAAGTCTACCTATCCCACTGCTTTAAAGTATCATAAACCAGATATATGAATCTTTAGTTTGCCTAAATCTTTTATTCTAATAAACTGAATTAGAATTCTGCTGGTTCATGAGTGATATGTTCTATAAAACATCAATCTCTATACTACTTTCCCACAATAAAATGGGGATAATACTGATACATATACAAGTTATGGAGGGCTTTTTTAAAAAAAAAAAAACCACAAACAAAAAAACCAAAGCAAAACAAAAAAACCACAACCACACCACCACCAGAAACTAATGTTTTGCAACACTCAAATACTTTTAAATACCAACTTTTACTAAAGGGAAAGAGGAATGGAGGCCTACTTTGCTTGTCACTTTAAGAGCCTTAACAGCTCAGAAAAGCTATCAAGAGAAACCAGAGTAAGTGTACCATGGGAAATGCACACCACTAAAAAGCATCACTAACATATATTGATGGTTTATTGCTGATAACTAGCAAACTCAACCTGTTAATGTAAACTCTGCCATTCCCAGTCATAGGGACTGGGCTGTTGCACTTTTTTGTGCTACTTTGCCTGCCTTTTTTTTTTTTTTTTTTTTTGAAGCATACAGTAAATTACAGCCTTCCCTTTCATAGACAGATGATATTTTGCCCTTAGTGACGCCTCCCTCCCATGATTCCACTCATAGTAAATCCAGAAGACATTAAATGTGTATTGAAGGAATAACTCCTCTACAGTCCACAAGCCAAAAAAGCATGAATGTATGCAATGTGATCATCACTTCACTGATTTTGCAAATGTCTTAAATGTTTTTCATTAATTTCCTTCCTGATGTGCTGTCAACAGGTAGCCAAAATACTTTTACAAATAACAGAACTACAGCTACCCTGGCTAGCTGTAAGCTTCACATGCATGATATCGAAGATGATGACAAAACAGCTACTTCATACATATTCATACTGTTATTCAGAGTGACAAGAACTTCACAGCATGTCATCTTAGTGGGTTGCATCAATATTCCTTTTTTTCCCTAATAGGAAGGTTGTGGGAAAAGCAAAAACATTCTGCTTGGAGTAGGAGTATTCAAACTATCCCTACTTTATGGTTAGGCTGACATCAAAAAATAACAGCTGTTCTTGTAACTGAGATATGCCTCATGATTGAGCTTGTAGAATTTACAATCCTTGACAGGCATTTAAAATTACACTTCAGAGTCCACTGCTCCCTTTCCTTTGTACTATTCAATCCCACCAAAATATAAGATTGGCTATAATTTTCTTGTTTGGGATTCTCTTGATGCAGAAGAACCTTCATGGAACTCAAAGCTGATTTCTACAGTAGGGATGGCAGTATTTTGGGGACGAGGAGGGGAGAAGCCAAGGTACAATACACTGCTGATAGATAACTAGTTAAGACGTGTAGGGTGTCCAGCCAGCAAATTTAGACTACAGCACGGTTGACCTAATCTGCATCATGGCTTGGGAGAAGATCAGGGACTCCTGAAAGTCTCCCCAGCAGGCTCATTTCAACTTCACATAGCATAAATCTGATGAAGCAGAGAATAAAGCATATTAAATGAAAATAATGCATTTATGCTTGCTATACTTTTATCTTAATGCAGGACATAGCTTATTGTAGGATCTTATAAAGGATACTAAGTGCAGATTTTCTGTTTTACTTGGTGCAAGATCCAGTGGTAACAAGTCACTGCGGCAAACGGAAATCTCAGATGTTGGGGAAGATCTTGCTCTGGAAATCAGCAGACACAGAGTGCCATGAAGACATAACACAACCTGACAGCAGAGTGAAAACTAACTTTGCTCTGAAGTGATATAAATACTCTCATTTAGGTTTCATTTAGCCAAAGGATATTCAAGTAGCAACAAGTATGTGAGCAAGTTGATTGGAGTAGAAGGAAAAAAAAAAAAAAAAAAAGAGCCCAACATATTCCCATTCCCCACAGTACTTTAGCCGATCCCCACGTTTCATAAGCAAACAGAATTCAGAAATGTTGCCAAGACAGTACATACACATTTTTTTTCCTGTCTTCATTATCTTAGCTCTAAAAAGTATAGACCCCAAACAAAAAAAAAATATTTTAAGGTCAAATAAACACACAGCTAGAACCATTCAACAGAAATATACTTGTGTTTACAAATCCACTTGCTTGCTTACAGTTAGAAACCTAAAAATTAAGCAACTATCTGAAACTGATCTCACTGTTATTTAGTCTTCATAATTCCACAATAAGTCACTGAAGCTAAGCACTTTTGGATATCCGACTGAACAGGAGAAAATGAAACTTTACTGCTCTACTGATAGGTTATTAAAATAATAGAGATGCACCTTTATTTACACTTGTTTGGTGTACTTTTTCTTAAAAGTCACAACCACCTTTAAAACAAATCCTTTACACAACACTTCCAGAAACTTGTTACTTTAAAACACAGCAAAACTATCTAGAACACAGACTATTTAAGAACACTAAATGCCCTTCAGTCTCTAAAAAAAAAAAAAAAAAATTATTATCCTATTATCAGTATATTAGTAGGTTGGTCATGTATGCATTAGACAGCCTAGCTTTATTTCCAGTACATTACCACTACTACTTACTCAACACAAAGTTTGTTTCTTCAAAAAGAACAAGCCAGTGAGAAACTATTTGTGTAAATAAACAGAACAAGAGTTGGATGGCAAGTACTATAACTTAGTAGAATGTATCTTCTATCAGTATCTTGCAGTTTTTCAATGAGCAGACTGATATATTTTCAATAAAATTATTACTACTACCCTTTAACTTAGAGTTAAAACTAAGCAGAGGCCAAGTTTTGTTTATGAAAAAGTGCCTGAAAACGTAACAAGGCATGCACTTACACTTTCTCCCTTTATCAAACCCTTCCTGCAATTGCATTTACTTCAAATCCTTGTTATTAGGAAGTTCCAGTAGATTGGGTTGTTCCAAAATGCAACTTACTACAAAGTAACTGCAAAACTGAGCTGTCTGTTCTCAGAGGGCAGCCATCTGGGCTTGTTTATGTTTTCAACTTTGTGGAACAGGGAGTTGCTCTGTTAGAGACGGGACACCCTCGGGAAGGAAGTATCCCACAGAGCACTGTCTGCCTCTAGCTACGCATACAAATTTTGTTTCATTTCGGTCATGATTTTGAAAGACTATTCAACAACTACAAGTAAAGCATTTGGAAAAAAACAGTAAGATGAAACTGTAAGCTTCTTACTAAAATATATACCAAGAGACGGGTGGCCATGAGGGGAAGCTACTCCTGGTATACAAATAAGAAACAGACTTACTTCTGCATAAAGTAACAAGGACAATGAGGGCCTGTTTGTGGAAGTTGAGTGCATTTTAAAAAATTGTTATTCAATTAAGGCTCAGGCACAGTGTATTTTCTGAACCGTCACACTGAATTCAGACAACCATTATTCAAAGTGAGTACGGATGGCAGTATGTGACTCACAGGAAATTTGGAAAATCTCTAACAGTTTTTAGCAAGCTTCCTTAATAAGGACAGTTGTGTAATTTGGTGGGTTTGCTTGTTAAAAATACTTCAGTAGTTTCCATTGTAATTGTATATAAGTGAGGACCTTCGTCATGATTTGTGTTTCAAAATAAAAGTCTTACGTTTTGGCTAGCTTTGATAAAAGTATCTAAGATTTACTGTAAGCCAAACAAGACAGAACTAAGTTAAATCCTATTCCTTGCATTCTCAGAGTAGTAAAGATATAAGATAAAAAGATACCTTCTAAAGTAAAATCCAGCAATACATATTCATAAGCAGAATCCGTCTTTGTCTCAACTTGTGGTCTCTTCAGTGTAGAAAAGATTTTTCCAGGGCTGCTATCATCTGGGTCTTCCAGCTTTCTCAGTCCGCACCCCATGGCAAGATCTGCAAATGATTAAATCGCAGGAAAAGGTGGGGGGAGCAGCAAGATCTGTCGCTCTCACTACAGGGAAAAAAAAAAAAGTAACCAAATAATTCCCTATGATTTTGTTTTCTATTAGCTGTAAATCCAAATAGAGAAAAAGTCTGGTTCCCAAATCAAAAAGCGAAGGTACTTTCCATTCATTTTTTTATATAGAAACAGCAAACCCGTGATGATTTCAAGCTACAAACTTGGTAGGAGTAGGCGTGATTTTGCAGCAATGTTAGAGCTGCTACAAACTAGCAGAGATTTTCCATGCCACGTCAATTTACAGCCAGCCCCCTATCAGTGCTCTCTTGCAGAGGACACCAATAGTGCTTTGTTTGTCCTTCTAGACTGCCTGGGTGAGGGGGGGCAGTGGGGGGGGAGAAGAACTGAAAAAGAAAGTTTGAGAGAAACTTGTCTGTAATTACTTACCTCCAGAAGTTCTCAACTGCAGTAGCAAGTCAGAGGGAAAAAAGCAAGTTAGTCAGAATGAAAGAATGAGAAAAGAGCCTCAACATGGTTGGAGACGAAAATCATTTCCAGAAAGGAAGTCAGCTTCAAGAGGAAATTGCTTCTGGCATCTCAAAGGGTAGAAAAGTAAATGAAAGGCAGTTTAGTCCTTATTTTAGATTTCAAAGTTTGGTTCCTATTTCCTTTTCACAGGAACTTTCCTCCAGATGAAAAAAACCACATGAACATAGTGTAATATATTGTAATAATGTAAAAATATGCAGTAATTTCTTGTCAAGAAAATCAATAAGAATCTACATTGCTAGAATCAGCTTATGTAATTAGTTTTGATAAACACTGAAAAATTACACTGAAATATTCCTAATTTCAAATCAGAAAGACTTTTTCTATGTTATATATGAATATAGTTACAAGACTTTTTTTCAACCCATTTTTCATGGGTATTGAACAACTGAAATCCTCTTCTCCTCTGTCAGGCTGACCTCAGTTGGTACAGCCACAGACTTTCAACACTGTTTCCTAAACAAATTTTTCTTTAAGTCCTGAAAATTTAGTATAAGTTTAAGGGCTCTCATTACTCTTACATTGCCTACTACAAGTCACTTGTAACTGTTTTACACCTGATACAGACCATGATAATGCCCTGCAAAAAAAAGGAACAGTGATTGATTTTCTAAGGCCCTGTTACTGCTGGGATGGGTGGTTAGAAAATTTACCTTTTTACTTTTACACTACATCTAGAGAAATTAAGAGTCATCTAGAGAAAACTAGAGATTTGTAATACCATTTTGGATTAAAAGAAATACACATTTGAATTTAAAACACTTTTTACTTTTTTTCACTGAAAAATACTAATCTTATAAAAAATGCCCACATTTTCTATGATTAATCACCGCAAGTTAGGCATTAACCATTTGTGGTTTTCTTCCTGTTCTACTGCAAGCGAAGTGATCTAACTTTTATTTAAGCAGCTTACCAGGAATGAGCAGTCTGCGGACTATATCCCCTTTGAAATCCACATTAAAATTACTTAATTTTGGAAGAATTTAAAAATCACAGAGCATGGAGCCTGGGATTGAAGTCATAATTATTGCATACAGTCTTTAAAACAAGCTCCCAGGTGCTGAAACCAAAAGGAAATCCCTCAGTGTTGTCATCTTGATTAAAACCCAGGAAAACAACAAATAAGCAGAATTCTCCAGCTTCCTGCATGTCTGCTTACAAAGAAATTGCCCCCAAACACTCTTTTCTTTTTTTTCCAGTAAAGGTCATCCCTGAATTGTTGCTATACCAGACATACATGTAAACTGTCCACTCAACCTTGAGAATCCTGCTGCTTCACTCCACACAGTCCTTAAGATCCACTGTAACCGCTTGCAGAAAGCTATGGCATGACTGACAGCTGCAAGTAAAACAACTTTTTGCAGCACTAGGCCAGTTGCCAGCTGGTTGCCCTTTTTTTTTTTTTAATTTAACTAAAGATAGCTACATTTTTAATGAGGCCAGAATATTGTATTTTAAACTCTTTGTGACAAGGCTTAAATCATATTTCAACCCTTTCATCAAGACAGGATTTTTCATAGCATAAACAAACTCTTATGACAACACAGAAACACTGTTATGGATAAAAACAATGGTCCTTATTTTGGGTAACCCTAGATCAGTTAAGTAGTTAATAAGTTTCTGAATTGGAAGTCAATAGTTGCCATTGCAGACTTGACTCAAAAGCCACTAGACTGAACCAATGAAAACAAAGATCCCAGATGTCAAAAAGAAAACAAAACAAAACCAACAAAGAACTAGCAGCATCCCACACAGGAGTTTAAAACTGCATCAAAGCACCTGAATGACTCAGGAGAAGAACAGGATCCTAAGATTCCTGGATTCAGGAGCTGCCGGAATAGCTTTAGTATCCTGTTGCAAAGTGGATATAAGCTACAAAACAGTCCACTTCGTGACCCAAAATGCAAAGACTCTGGGAACTGGTATCGGAGAAAAACAGATCCCTAAAACTACACTGTGATTCACAGAGATGTGGTAGTCACAGCAACCCCCACTAGAAAGAGCATGCAACTCATTCACTGAAGCTTGATATAATTTTTAGACTTTTAAAAAGGCAAACAAAGATAGCCAAACAACAGACCAATTAATCCAAAGGAACTATGCTTCTGTGGAAGGCTTCCAGAATCCCCCCTACAGTTTTTATTCTGATGAAATGGAAAATGATACAAATATGGCAAAAGAGTAGTGCACCAACAGGAGCATTGGTCCAGCACTGGACTACCATCGACTGTCTTCTAGCAGTGCAAGATGAGAGGCGGCAGCAGTTCTGCGCAGTAGTTTTGACCAGCAAGTGAGACAGCAAGGCTTGCTGCCTACCCACACCTCAGGGTTGTTCCTGTCCCTTGCTCATGACTGACTTTGTTCCCTGTTGTCAGTATCATGGGAAGTTTGAAAACATTCGTGTGGGAGGCATTTTTGTCTGTCTTGCTATGTTACTAAACTCACTGAATGTAAGGACATCATCTGATGCTTGAAACTGATGTGTTGAAATAGTCATCCCTCTGTTCCTGACTCCATGCTCAGCTGCTCACTATTAACATTATTGATGTCCAAGGCAGGCCCTCTGTCTACAGTGTTGGTGCCAAATAAAAGTGGTGTTGGCACCCCTTTTT